AGGGAAGAAGATTTTTAGCTATATATCTGATGCATTAACAAGTACGGTATTGAAGCTTATGAATTTTGCCCACAGTCATCCTTGCATGCTCTTGAATATTTTTTCATGAATATTACTTAAAAAAATTAAATTACACTGCCAGTCCAAAAAGCAATACATGGATGCTATAGGTTTGAAATTTATAGACCCATGCCACCCCTACCCCACCATCCCCTTTTTGACGACATTCTCAAAAATATTCTATTGGTCTATAGACAAAGCCTTTCTAAACTCAAATTTCTTCTCTTAGAAATTCCATTCTCTCCATGTATAAGTTTACGAGAATGATGCCATTTGTAAACATCAGGACCTTTTTGTTATTCCTTGCACCACAACCCCCTAAAGATAACCCCAGCCCTTCAGTTTTCATTAATCAGATACAGACAAGCCCCGGCTCCTTTCGTCTAAGTCCTCTTTTCCTCTTCACTTCTCAATAACTGTTGTTAATTTGTCCAAATTTGATTTTGTAGCCACGTTGGAAGCGCCTATGGATATACAGTAATTGGACTTTCTGAGTGGTTTATGCCCACAATAAACCCAAATCGCTACAGCTGGTCTTTGGTTAACCCTTCGGAGTCACTTTCTACTACTATATATAGTATACGTATATATCACAGGAGAATATATGGGCACGGGACAAAAAATGAAGTGGGAATGCGTAGTATAGGAGTGTAAAACGTATCAATGTACAATGCAAAAGCTATTTCATAGAATCAGTTCGTAATCTTTTTATACATCTTGTGAAAGTAAATTCAAACTTCTTCAAAGATAATTATTGGGGTAAGAGTAATAAAATAATATAATATAAAACTGTGAAATCATTAATATTTCTGTCATACAGTATTCATGAACACATACTTGAGATTATAAAATTTTAAGATTTTTAAAAATAAAAGAGGGATATACGCAGAAAACTGGTGAACACAAATTTCATTCGGAAAACGCAGAATAGCTAAGGCAATATAAGAAAACAAAATTATTGAGTATACAACTTCATCTTAAGAAAGTAATACAAATAGTATACCTTGTAAACTGGTTCCCACGGATGTGGCCATCTTGTCACTGGTTTCTAACAGACATGCGCTAAAACTGATCTAAGAATAAGTTCAGAATTTCAAAATCAGAATCTGAATCTTTTGGGTTTCATAGCACATTGATGACTGCAAGCTTTCGGCAATTTATTTACATGATCTTGTAGTTATTAAAACAGAAAGGTGTGAATTTCGGTTTATATTAAGTAGGCTGACTGTCAAAGCTGCTACTGTGAAATTGTTTCATTTTTGCAAAATAACAGACACAATTTCAATAATCTAAAGAAATAAAGGAATAAGCATGTTACTAAACATTTGACGATCGATGCATAGAAAGCACTGTTTTGACGCCATATCGATCCTAGTCACGTGACTCTTGGTCTTCAGAAATAATTCGATCCTCCGTGAGATGACAAAAGATAATGATTTATGAATTTATGTTTAAATTTTAATACGATTTCCAACACGGCAAATTAAAAATAAACTATCCACATGTAAACTGTGAATTCCAACACACTATAGCAAGTACAAGTGAATTGTAATCCAAGAATAGCTAGATTGATTTCAAGTCGCACAAGAGTATTCCGTAACACAAACTGGAAGTCCAAAGGAACGTTCTAAACAAATCACAATTCCTAGACACAGCTCATTCGAAATAGTTTAAAATCCTGTCAATTCGTTGAGGTTCACAATTGCTAACCGGAAGTTGTCTGTCTTAGCAATGAAAATGCTGCTGAACATAATTTAAAGGGAAGTAACTGTTGTATTTTTCAATTTATTGATCTGGCTTCAGTTTTACTAAACTTCGTATCTTAAGAAAAAAAGTCTGAGTTACGAAGTTCGTAACTTTTGAATTAAGATACGATGCTTCTGTTTTACTAACGCGTTCGTAAATTTTTATCGTAATCTTAACTTGTGAACAATTCGTAAGATACGATTTTGGAACTCTCTTTTAAAGGAGATATAAATATTCGTAGTCACGAACGCTGCGCAAGCGCAATAGTCACTTTCGCTTTTATTCGCGGCAAAACGTCATTCTCGTCTGCGACAAAAAAAAAATGGAAAGCAAAGATATCAAGCGGAGAAGGCCCAACTGGAGCGAGGGGGAGCTTGTGGCTTTGGCGGAGGCAGTGGTCCCTAGGGCCCATTACCTTAAAGGGAAGCTGTCTCCGTCATTGACAGCTGAGAGAAAACAGGGGCTTTGGGAGGAGGTAGCCGATGAGTAAGTATTGTGACGAACCCCAAATCATTATACATGTACCATAATAAAGCCAAAACTGAATAGCAGCATAACAATATATTTATTGTGCAGTTTTTAAGTCAATAACTTACTGGGTGTTATATCAAATTTGAAAAATACATAGATTTGACAATGTTTGAATAACTCTGAAATTTCACTAATTTTTGTAGCCCCCACCCACCCCTCTCCAATATAAATATAATATCAGAGGAAAAATTAAAATTGAAATACAAATTGTTGGGGTTAACTGTTATGTTATCAGAAACAAAATATGGACACAAGTTTAAAATCTGTATGTATACATGTAGGCCTACTGGGTAAAAGTTATGAGATTGTCATCATGTGGCATTAGTGAAATAAAATTGTAAATGTAAATGCTGACTGCAACAGATACATTAGGCATTCCATATTAATTTCCAGTGTCCCCTTCCACTGATGTCAGGCACAAAGCTAGCCAAAGAAAATTTCAAATTGTCATACATATTGGGTATTTGACCCTTTATTTGGCAAAATTTACTTTCAGATGATTCAGTTGTAACCATGAAAAAATAAACACATCCAACTTTCAAAGAGAGAAACAGAATTTGAGAAACCAATATGGTAGCCTATTTTATAAAAACAAACTATTTAAGGTTTAAAACTTAAAAGAGGTGTTTTTTTTTTGTAAGCATTTCTGACTAGAGTTGTTGTTTTTAATGGAGTAACAGTGTACTTGTTATGAACAGTGAAATCACTGGACCCATTTGCAGTTTGGCAACAAAAATTGTTTCAATATTACAGGATTTTAATAATGACTATCAAATCCAAAATTAATGGTAAAAAATCTGGGAATATGTTGAATTCTTTTTATTTTCATTAAATTCTAAGTTTATTTCCTGTTGAGTGTCCACCCAAACTGTCAAAAACCTAACTACTTATTTGCAAAAAAATATGTCCACAAGACACAAAATAAACAAATTTAACTTAACAAACACTTTAAAGTAAAAAAAATAAAAACCATTTCTTTCAAAGGATTTGAATTCATTCATCTATTTTTCTCTTTTAAAAAAAATTATTTTTTGCAAAATCATGCTATTTAATTAAAAAGCTAAAAATTATTTAATATGACATATTGTAGACAAATATTTATAGAAAATTACAGAATTCAGATATTTTAACCAGAATAACCAATTTTACTAAGAACTGCTTTTGAATTCAATATTATTCATAAATTAGAATGAGATTTTTGTTATTCTTGTGAAGTTATTATTTTAATCTATATAAAACAATTCTTTAAATTAGTGTGCATATCCCATTATTCTACATTAGAGTCAACTCAGTTGCCATGGTTAAAAGAACAGTTGATGAAAAGAAGAAAAAGTGGGCTGACATGCAGAGCCTGACAAAAAAGAAAGAAGGAGAAAGGAGAAGGTCCATGAAGATGACTGGTGGAGGCCCGGGCCCAAATCTCATTTTTAAATGTTGGGAAAATTTGGTAAATGCTTAATTTTTTGTTTAAACAATAGGTCATTAACTTTCGTCAGTTACTATTGAATCAGTATGAGTTGAATATTTAGAGTTTCAGTGCAGAAAACAAATCATTTAGAAAGAATTTGTTGAAAGAATATTTTCAATAAGCAAACAGTTGCATATGATATCATATCGTCCTGCTATAAATTTTTTAAGGACCCCAACAGTGATATTGATCCAAGGCTGTCTTTTTAGCACTCCAGACATAAAGGTTCAAGTGAGCTTTTCTGATCAAAGAGTGTCTATCAGTGCAAATGTTACTCAGGCGAGCATTGTGGATCATGGACCTTTATTTATTGATATTTATGTATCCTTATATATTTTGTAGGTTCTAAAATCCTTATCTGATGTTGCCATCGAGGGCATCAGCAGTGGTGTTGATACTGCAGAATGTGGTATGTATATAGACTCTTATCATATTTCATTGACAATTAAGATAAGATAAGATTTAGTAATAACAATTTGGGGCCCATCAGGGCATACAGGTATTGAGAAATACAAGAAGAAATTCAAAATTGATGGTAGCAACTAACAAAAGATTAATGATATATGATTATGTAAACAGTTTGAAATTACACATGTACCAGAATTACATAAATTAATTTCAAAAAGGGGCAAACAGTATTCTGTTTATCTATAAAAGCTAGAAATATGTCCATAGGAGGACATGAATATATTAATGCCCCACCAACTGTGTATATTAGTAATGTAACATGAAAATTTGTACAACTAATGAAATTTGATGAAAATATCTAGTACAGTTAAATAATAAAAATTAGTGAAAAATTTATGGCATCTTTAATCATGATTCCCCAGGGTAAAGGTGGGGCCACAATGAGGAATCAAAGTTTTACATATAGTAATATATGGAAAAATATTTTTTAAAAATCATCTAAGAACAGCAAAGTCATGGTTAGTCATATTCATATGGAAGTACATGTATCTTCAAATTGTTCAAATTTTGACCCCTAGGGTTAAGGTTGGCCATCATGTAGTGGACGATTCAAGTTTTACAAAGGAATATATTGAAAAAATCTTCTCAACATGCTCAAGAACAGCAAAGTGATGATTGGTTATGTTTTTATGGAAGCATCCTCGGGTATAAAGTAGATGCAGATTTGTTAAAATAATGCCCCAGGGGGTAGGGTAGTACCACAATAAAGTTCAAACTTCTGCAGAAAAAAGCAGTAATAGTAAAAAAAAATGTAATTATCCATCAGTCTTTATTGTAGATTCATGTTTGTGTAGATTTAAATTTGTTAAAACCATACACCGCTTTTAGGGTCCGTCAGGACAATTTATGCATTTACTGAATTGATTTTTGCTTGTTCTAAGCCAAAGTGCACAGGTGAGCAATGTGGCCCATGGGCCTCTTGTTTTGAAATTAATAGCTTTGAAGTGACAATCACTTTTTGACGGGGCTGGTAAATTTTTGGCTTGGCAACAACTTTACCTAGCAATCAATCCTGCGTGTCTAGCTAATTTTACAGTGAGTTTCAAACACAAGCTGCTATATGCCCCGGTTATATTCATGGCAGGGCATAAAACTTCTTGTATGAGTCCGTGGAAATGAAAGAAATATTTTAGTTTAAATATATAATTTTTTTTGTGGTATCATTATAGTCCAAGAAGCTTCTTCCATTAGTATCACTGCTGTTGTTCCATCTACTACAGATTCTGCTAAGCCTGGACTCCCCAACCAAGGTGCCTTTTTATTTTTTTACTTAAAGTGTATCATGTGTATGTAAATATGCACCACAGTACCAGATTAAAGTTGAACACTTTGCTTTATCTTATATCATTAATCTACATTACTTATCTCTTATTTTAAAGGTAACACCATGCCTCAGTCACTATCCAGTACAAGTAGCAGAAATGGTGGTAAGGCTCATAAACATAAATGAGTTAAATAATTATACGGTGATAGAAGTATTTATTTTTACAAGAATTTTTTTTATTCTGCTAAAATAAGAGAGATATGCAATTTATATTTCATAGAAAAATAGTATCTTCCTTGATTACTTCCCAAGTTCCTTTACGACTTTCACTGTTTTTAAATTTTAATCATGATAATTATTATTTCTAGTCAAAGACACATCAACCCTTAGTCATGGTGCTGTGATTCCGCTCACAGGGGCTGATAAACCTGGAACCTCTACAGAAGGTAACCCTCCCCCAATTCTTTTTTAAAATCACCTTATTGTATATGATATTAGTTATCCAGGTTCAATCAAGGGTGTACGGGGATTTATCTCAGGTTTTATTCCATACACCCTGAGCTGAAGGAATATTAATTTACCCCACCTCTGTTGATTTTTATGTGAAATCCTGGCTTACGATTGGTTAAAGTCTGTCACGTGAAGGAGGTGGATTACTTATACCCGGTCAGTTGTAGATATTTACCCAGTCATTTGTAATCTATACCTGGTCGATGTTTTATGTAACAAACATAACGTGACGTCATAATAGACACAGTAAGTGTGATGAAGCACTTAGCAGAGAAAATCATTTATAAACCACAGATAAAGCGTAAATGTTTCATCGGTGGGGTAAATTCATTACATAGTCTTTTAGTGACAGGGTATGGGATGATACCTGGTTAGTAAATTTCATACCTGACTCAGCTCCAGGTATGAAATTTACTAACCAGGTATCGTCCCATACCCTGTCGCTAAAAGACTGTGTAATTAATAATAACCGGGGGTAAATCCCTGTACACCCTTGATTTGACCTAGATAACAAATTTATTTATTATGTACCCATAAATATTCTTTGTAAACATCAGAGTCTTATCAACTGTGTCTCCATGCACCTAGGTATTGCCTATTCCAATAATTAAACGCTTTAAAATAAGATCAAGGACAATGATCCTGTGACCTTGACTGTGGCCTATTTGCTAAAAATTGCTTTTTAGAACTTTGTTGCTGCTGGGTGCATAGTGCTTCACGCATCTTGTTTTTGTTTTTTTTTTTTGCAAAACACCAGTTTAAATATATTGCTTCCTTAATTACTAATATCACTGAAATTTTTGAGTTCTGTAATAACAGTTTTACCTCATCTTTTTATCTCTTTGAAACAAACTATCTCTTATTTCAAAGATGAACACTTTGTGGAGGTAAGGTTCATATACATTGAGTTAAATAATTAAAAAGTGATAGAAGTATTTATTTTTACAAGACCTTTTTTTATAAAATAAAGTATTAATATTTCATAGAAAAATGATTCTTCCTCCTTCCTTAATGACTTTCATGTCCACAGTAGACACAACTAAATGATAAAAAGAATTCTTGTTACATGTACATGAATATGTTTGGGACTGAAATTTTTGCTCAGTTAAGTCTGAAAAGAGGTTCATGTCAGTTGGTAGAAGACTCCAGAGAGGAGTTTAAACTATTAAAAAAGCATTTCTTACAAAAATTTTTGATAAGAAGAGATTATTATAGTTAATTTGATTTTCATTATATTTAACAAATTTAGTCAACAAACTTGTTCATCTCTTTTTTATTTCAAATATATTTATGAAAAAAATACATACATTTAGGCCTACCAATTTAATGAAAATTATGTGCTTTCAAAATTTGCATTAATTGGCACTGTCATTAGTGATATAAGATTTTTAATTGAAAAGAGTTTTATGCCACGTAAAAAAGTAAGTAGCAACCTCCAAAAAAGTCTAACAATTTATTAAATGACATGAAATAAAATTATGCTACCATTCTTTCGTTAAACAATGTACATATACATAAATTTATAAACATTATCAAAAGGGTACATTTAATAAATAAACAGTTGAAAATAGAATTGTATTTCTTTTTTGTTTTGCATGTGTTTTGGCCGATTAATGTTTATAAAATGGTAAATCGAAAAAATCAGTGCATGTTATTTGGGTATACCTTTTTCATATATATAACATTGACCCTAATTTCAATCTTCCACTGGTAATGCACAAATAAAATTGATAAATGAAATGTATGAGATTTCTTTTTGGATTAATAATTTTGAACATAATATCTGAGATGTACATTCTAACATTTACAAATAAAACACTTAAAATTGAGTATTTTAAAGATAGAGAAATTAACAATAATTAAATTGACATGTCAGTAAAAATAATCATGACTGAAAAATTCCTACTTGGCAAAATTTTACAAAGAATTAAAAGCCCCTATACTTAAGAAAATTCACTTTGAATATCCACATGGAAATTGGCCATATAAGGATAAGACACAACTAATTCTTACTAATAAAAATAATTAATTCTGTTAAAAAATAATGCCGGTACATAACAGTATCAATCACATTAATGAATTGAATTATTAATAACCCGATAATTGTGATTAAATATTCATTATTTTAATAATGCACATGTGAAAGCTTTCTTCCTTCAATAGATATTATTTCAATTTGTTTCTATGCGCGTACTATTCATAAATGACCGCGTAATGTAAGGAGTCCTGGCAACTACCCAGAATCAATTTCTACTGCCTTTTATAGTTCCATTGTTTATTGCAAATCTATTTCTGAGTTGTGAATAAATAAACCCCGCCCACTGGGACTGCTTTCCGGGACTGCTGGGACTGCTCTCTGGGACCGCTGGGACTGCTGGGACCGCTCTGGGACTGCTCTGGGATTTATATTTGTATTTACAGAGGAGAAGTATAAACATTCTTATAATAATATTGACCATTATTTGTAAAGCAACAGAAAGCAACAAAAAAAGGCACAGAATGGTAATCTTCATACTCTAATGAGTCATAATTTCTACTTTGCTACAATTATCATACACATGCTTATTTATAGTCAAGTAATAAAGCAATTCATGAATAAGAAATTTGAAACAACATCTATTGTTATACAGACTGTCATAGTCTACCATGGTAAATAGAGTCATGCACTTTCAAAAATTTAAGCCAGAAAATGTAATCCATACTACTGTTAATACACATACACCTTATTCATGCAAATGTAATCAGCTTGGAGAAATATTGTGATGAACCAGAACAGGATTCAAACCCAAGTGCTTTAAAAATATCCATTTAAAAAATCTTCCTTATAGTACAAAATGTCATTTACATTTGCATTGTTTCAATATTACTGAAACCCTTATTTTAATAACTTGGCCAATCAGTAAGTCAGTTAAATTCAATGATATATATATGCATGAGCTTAAGTGCTACACTGTAATATAATGAAACTTGGTGCTTTGACTTGACTTGCAGGAAGTGAAGAGACCAGTCCACAAGAGCAGTTCCTCCTATTTCAAAAGGAGAAGTTGGCCAAGGTTTCAGATTACAGGAAAAGAAAGTTAGACATTATGGAGGAGCTGCTCCAGCTAGAGCGTAGGAGAACTGTAGCTTTGGAAAAGATTGCCGCCTCCACAGACTGTGCCAGAAGCTCTCCGCCATTATCATTATCACCTGTTATTAAGTTTCTCTGATTTATCGCAAAATATTTAATGTAAATTTTTATTTTTATTAAATTGTCAATGTTATATCAAAGTTAGTCATTGACTATAAACTACTTACATTTAGAACCTTTGAATAAGTCTTTCTCGTATAGCTGTGGCAGGTATGTTGTTGACTGGTGGTGCACAGTATTGCTCAATGCCAATCTCTGGCTCCACAGCCTCCATGAGTGGCACCCTCTGCTCAATAGCCAAATTATGCAGACGCATGGCACATTCGATGATCTTGGTACACTTGTCTGGCTTGTAGGGTAGACTGCCTCCAGTTTTGTGTAAGCACCTGTTGAAATTGAAGGTTAATCTTGTTTACATTTCTTAGCCAGTTATTGAATTTTGAAAGACAACAGCAAATTAATTTAATGATATTAATTTTTTTTGTCATGGTAGTTTCATCTAAGATAACAGTAATTCAATCACAATCACAACTAAAATATTTGTAACCTATACTTGATTGAACAATGTATTTTGAAATTAAATTGTCTGCTGGCTTGTAAGGGAGATAACTTCTAGAATTCATGATTTATAATAGAATTGATATAACCATTTTAGGTGTAAAGAATACTCATTTACAATTTTTCCTTGAAGACAAATGCTTGCATGTACCTGAAACGGGCTTTTAGGACCCCGAAGGCCCTTTCAATTACATTCCTTGTCCTGCAGTGAGCTAAATTGTATCGCTCTTCTTGGGCAGTTCTGGGGTTGTTGATTGGAGTCATCAACCACTCCTTTAAGGGGTAACCGGAATCCCCCAATAGCCATCCTCCATCAGTCAGATTTGACAGGCATTGTGGCAAAGAACTGCTGTTCAAGATGTAGGAATCATGGGATGAACCTGGAAATTTGCACACAGCATTTGTAAATCTGCAAAATAGACAGGGAATAAATTTTACATTGTTGAGACACAGTTTGAGTGAAAATATGATCTTTGTTCAATTATTTTTTAATTAACAGAGTTAAGTGATTTTGTCAAACTACATGCATATATTGGTACAAATTTCACACATCAAGTGTAACTGTGTAATACATTTTTATATTATACTTTCATGTAAATTAGTGGAATCCGATTGGTCGAGTAACATTTGTTAAAAAACACTATTACCCGCTGAATAATGAAGCCATGCCATCCAGCGTGCAACAGTCAACATTGCTTGACAATGGGTGATATTTCAAACAATTTAGTGACTGCGCAGATTTTATGTGTGCACGGTTCACTGTTATATATGTATTGTACATTCAGTATAATATAATAAATATTGCATGTAGTTGATTGTAACATTAAAAATTTTCACCCCTCGAAAACCATTGCCCCTCGGTTGACATTGGTTTTCTTGGGGTGAAAATTTTCAATGTTACACTCAACTATACATGCAATATTTATATATATATATAGTATTACATGTAATGTAATACATTAATTTTAAATTGAATAAATTTTACCGTAAATCTGGGTTCACCACAGCCTGTACATTTATAGAGTGAAACCCTTTCCTACAAATGTATAGGGGCTCATCGTCTGAAGACATCCCTTGGATGGGAATCTGGGTCCCGTCAATGGCACCTGTGGTGAATTTAAAATGAATGTAAAGTGAGCTTTTCTGCATGATAACCTATCTATTGTTTGTATGTTAAATTTTCCACCCTCTCAGATACTTACCAACTACATTGGGAAAATGAGCAATTTTGTAGAAGTCCATCTTGATTTTCTTTACATCTTCAGTAGCAGAGGGAAACTTTATGTTCTGTAGTGTGGTGCAAATGGCATCAATTACACGATGTACAATAAGGCAACCTGACGACTTTGATATTCCATGAATATCAGCTATTTCTGACAGATAATCACCTTTGGCTAAAAATCGAAGACACGTTAACACCTGAAATGAAATTAAATTCCATATATGTAAAGGATTCTATTGCTTTAACATCTAGATTATTTTGAATTTCTTTATTGTTAGCCGCTGAGCATGCAACACATTTAGAAAAGGAAATTGTAGGTTATAAATAATTTTTTTGTCAAGTAATCTTGTCAAATGATTTGATTTTTAGATATCTTATAACTACAAAAAAGTTCTACATGTATATAAATTATTAAAATAAATAAATGTGAAATATTTTTTATCTTTGGAAATGCAGAAATGAAGATGTACTAAGGGGAGGACCATAGGGGGGTGGGTGCTTGAAAAAATTCTTTCCTTAAAAATTTTGACAATAAATATCCACCAGCAAGAAATATAGGTATTTTCAATTCAATTCTTTATTGGCACTAAAGCACATATTTATGGTATAAGTTAGACCCTGAATGTACCTGACCCCCTTTCCCTTCCAAACTAGATTAAGGGGATATTTTGATGTCAAATTAACTGATGGTTACACCCCCCCCCCCCCCAACACACACACAATGCAATATAAAGTTGCAATTTGACCTTTTTTTTTTTTTTAAAAAATATACACTGATATTTTAGTAATCTTTGAAAAAAATTCTCTCCAATGAAAACATGATTCCCCCCCTTATTATTTAAATGACATCTCCTAATATTTTTTAAAGTTTTTTAATTAAGAGTTCAAATATTATTTTATCTTGTATTTCAAAAAAATAATTGATAACTTTTTGCTTCAAATAAATGCAGGGAAATAACTTTTTTAAAAGTGAACTGTATGTGCTCATCACTTATCAAAGGGAAACAATTCAAAAATTAGTTGATACAGTAGTGGCCCTTTTATTTACTCTTCAGTACATATGAAAATGGACAAAGTTTTAAAGGGCATTGCATTGATCATGATTACACATGATTACACAAGGCTGTGTCAGAGAATTCTTCTTAATCATTTTCTTCAGGATATTCAACATAGTAACAGTAATTAAGTTTCTTTTGCTTTTTGATCATGTAATTCACATTGGAACTTTGTTTAGGTGCTATAGCTTAATCTAGAATTTCCTCTGTTCATTTGTATCTATTACAAGCGGGTCACAGAGAGCATAGTTACCTGGATATGCGCAGGAATAGAGTGAGATCTAAAGGTTTTAGGTTGGAGGAGGTCTTTTACTTCTTCTGTCAGGTACAGAATGACATGCCTCGGGAACCTGTAGCGCTCAATAAGTTCAACATCTCTCAGAGTGTCAAGCACTTCACTCCTGTCCCTAAAAATCCTGGGACGACGGGGGGATTTGTCTTCTTCTTCTCCCAAAATGTCTCGAAATATCATAAGGGCGGCCATTTTTATTTAGACTTACGAAAAAATCGTAACTTAGGATAGCCCATAGGCTGTCGTAGAGTTACGATAAGATTTTTAACGTAATTTAAGATAAGAAGTTTAGTAAGACAGAAATTTATCGTAACTTACGGTTACGATCAAATCTTAACTTACGAAGTTTAGTAAAACTGAAGCCTGTTTTTTGCCATATATTGATTAGAATTCCGAGATGGCGGTCGGGACACAGCATTTGCATTGATTGGAATTCTGGCCAGAGAACATTAACAGTTCTCAACGTCCAACGATGTCCTCTTCCAAATTAACCAAGTATATTCTCAGATGGAACTGCCCGGCAACATCGACGTTTTTTCACTTATATTTGAAGCCCTATAAAACAATTATAGCTACGAACAAGATGATCCTCAGCTTACACAAATATTTATGTTTTCTGGGTTTTCGTTTTTGCACTTTTGTACAGATTGTTTTTTATAGCTATATTTATATTTCACAACCACTCACTTCCGAAACGAAGAAAACAAATTTTATTTAAGTAATCAATCAGAAATAATTATTTTTTTTTCATTTTATATATACAGAAAATAAAGTATGATTATTCTATTTCAGGTTACATTGATTGAAATAGCTATATTTTTTCTTTTATTTGTATGTTTATATCTATGAATTAATGTTATTTTTAAATCTAAAATTAAGTTTGTTTCTCGAAAATATATATTTTATATTTTCGAATATTTGAAGCGAATTAATTAAATATAGTTGATAATTAGTAAAGCTTAATTGATACAACTGACACATGCTTTTTAGAGTCTATGGCGGGTTAAGGTATTTTGTTGACATTTTCGCTGTTTCTTTCACTTGCAAACAGTTTTCTTGATAATGGGTCATGAAAACAAGAAAAGAAGCGTGGATGGATATCCCACCTTATTTATAAATTTTCTTCTCACTTGAACATCTGGCAAGCAAACAATACGAGTAAAAATGTTCGGGAACAATTGACTAGAAGTGCTGACTGCTTTAGAGTAGAGGTCTATAATGATCATTTAAACATAAAAGAGTCCTAAGGTTCTTCGTTCTCCAAGGCATTGAAAATGACAAAGAAATGAAACGCTGTAATATATTCGACTTATAGGCCAGAATTTACTGTTTATTATTTATAATAATAATGATAGTAATTAAATATTAGTGATACTGGTTCTAAATATTAGAATATATATATTTTGTTCCGTTAGGTATAAAAAGATAACGCTAACCATGCGTATATTCTTTTTTTCTGTAATGTTAACATATATTTTTGACCATTTTTTTCATGGCAAGAATTAAATTAATCAACAAAACTATTCGAGAAGGAAGAATACGAGAATTTCTTTTTACTCCCTAGACCCATCCAATATATGCATAAATGGATGATAAAAAGTAAATATTTTCTGCAGGAAAAATCATAGATTTCAAGCGCATTTTCAGTACAAGCTAGATTCTTTTTATTTTTTCTTAATTTGAAATGAATAATTTTTTATGACCTTGAACATTTCATACTGTTCATTCCTTGGGGTCTTTTAATATATAAGCAACTCTATCATATGTCAGAGTATATCAGTATATAAATTTATTTAATTATTCAATGAATTAATTGTAATTTTTCATGCTATATTTTATAGAATTTTTTTTATTATATGTCCCTTTTAAGGATTAGATATAAACAAATTTATACCCCAAAGTATACTATTGAACACAAAAATAAAGTGAAAACTGTATACATGTACTTTTTTTTAATCTATGGTTATAAGGCTTTAAACCGAAAAAGAGTTTCTATGTGGATTAATTTCTTTGATTTTCTGTATCTAAAATTATGGTCTACAATGAAGCAATAATTTGACGAAATGACTTTCGTTAGGTGCTGGGTAGAACACACGGGGCACAATCCAATCTTGAAATAAGCCGAGACAACCTTTTATCGAGTTGCGATCCTTATTGAATCTACCAGTATCGTACAATTCATTCCACGTCCAAATTCAGTAAAGGTTTGCTAGCAATATATTAACTCTCTAATCACAAAAAAAAACCCAAAATGTTTATAAAGTGCTTGATATGCAAAAAGAGTGTTTTATTTACAAAAAAAACTGCCAAAAAATGTCACTATGAAGTTTGTTTTCTATTTTGAAACATAAAAGTAGAAGCTATTGGAAACTGTGTGGCGTATTGTAAACTGATTGTTACTGGGACTTTTTGCATGCGTAGATTCCTATGAATAGACGTTATTTTGTAGTTGCACGACTTGTTATATTTAGCAGGCCTGAGCCGAAAGGGGGAGGGTATCCCAGAATATACTGTAAAAATAGTCCCATTTGATAATATATTCCTATTGCTCTCCCTTTTTTAAATAGATTTTCTCCTCCTCCCTAAAATGACATGCTGCCTACGGGCTGTACATGCATAATTACATGCAGGTTTTTATAGCCGGGTGGAGGAGGTTGCAAGAGGCTAAATAATATCTTCTAATTGCATTCAAACGACTTATTTCTTTTAACGAGAATCGTTCATTGAAACAATTTTGAAAAAAAAAAAATGAAATTTATAATCCTTGAGAACATAAAAACTAGCACTACCTATTGTTTTTCTGACCATCCTTAATCACAGCTATTATTATTATAACAGGAGCACATTATCGTTTGGTGGTATGTTTTGCGTCATCTTTATCATGTTTATGTTTTGATTACAGTGTATTATCCTTTTTTTATCTTTTGATAACACGTGTAACGTACATATGTTTATGAAATTTACACCCGTTTCACTTCGTGAAATACCTGCCAGTTTATTACCTAAAATAAAGACAAAATTAAAAAAAAACAATTATTCATTTCCATCTTTCTTTTGATTTTTTTTAAAAATACTTTTATTATTTGAATTTCTATAATTTTTTGAGTCACGTAATTTACACGAACCAATGGTCAGAGTTTTACAAATAAATAAGGAATAAATACTATATCACAGAGTTCAAAATATGAGCCTCTGGCATACAAAAATTAGGGGAGATTTCCAAAATCAATTTCAATGATTTTGAACTAGTAGAATGAACATTATATAACTTCCTTGTGAGCATGTTTTCAATCCATTCCATATTTAATTAAGAGTATTTTTTCTTGTGTTCAGTAAACCAATGCATTATTCTTTTTTTTTTCGTTTACTGTGTGAATAAATTATGTACAGCATTTGAATGTTTGTGTGTATTATGGGTATGGTATATGCTTCATTCTTGGCCTTCTCACGTTCTACAATTAAAATAGTAAAGTGTATAATTCAAGTAAAAAATGACATCCATGTATGGCATGTCAAACGTTGCAATATTCGATAATCTTGTGATGTATATTCAAAATCTTGTGATGTATGTTCGAAATCTTGTGATGTATATTCAAAATCTTGTGATGTATATTCAAAATCTTGTGATGTATGTTCGAAATCTTGTGATGTATATTCAAAATCTTGTGATGTATATTCAAAATCTTGTGATGTATGTTCGAAATCTTGTGATGTATATTCAAAATCTTGTGATGTATGTTCAAAATCTTGTGATGTATATTCAATATCTTGTGATGTATATTCTTAAACTTGTGATGTATATTCTATAATCTTGTGATGTATGTTCGAAATCTTGTGATGTATATTCGAAATCTTGTGATGTATGTTTGATAATCTTGTGATGTATATTCGAAATCTTGTGATGTATGTTCGATATCTTGTGATGTATATTCTATAATCTTGTGATGTATGTTCGAAATCTTGTGATGTATATTCGAAATCTTGTGATGTATATTCTATAATCTTGTGATGTATATTCAATATCTTGTGATGTATGTTCAAAATCTTGTGATGTATATTCAATATCTTGTGATGTATATTCGAAATCTTGTGATGTATATTCTATAATCTTGTGATGTATGTTCGAAATCTTGTGATGTATATTCGAAATCTTGTGATGTATGTTTGATAATCTTGTGATGTATATTCGAAATCTTGTGATGCATGTTCGATAATCTTGTGATGTATATTCGAAATCTTGTGATGTGTGTTCTACAATTCAGTGATGCGTGCAATAAAATTGCATGACGCAACAGAAAAGTAAGGACAATTTTCATTGGTTAGAAATAACGAAAGTAGCTGAAGCGTCGGGAAAACCATGCAGGTGAGAAAAAACACATCAGCCTGGGGCCCGTTTTACAAAAGGTCTTACGACTTAAGACCAAATTTAATTCTTCATATAACTTTTTAATTAACATTATATCAAAAATTATTTTGAACATTTTAAAGAGAAAGTGGTAGGAATTAATAATTTTGCAAAATTTTACAACAATCTGAAGTTTTTGGTCTTAATCGTAAGTTCTTTTGTAAAACGGGCCCCAGTTTGTTTATTGCAGCACTAATTACGAGATGCACGAGTGTTGTTCCTGGTGACATGATGGAGATATTTCGGCCTGCTAGGGAAAAAACTCAGTAAACGTAGATGTATTGACAAAATTTGTAGGTACTTGTAACGATATGTTACGATGCTGCATTGTCAGATACAGTATTTATACATGCATGCTAAAAAGTTAAATCTCGTAGTAATCAATATAGCAGAAGAATAATGAAGAGTACCTACTACAAAAACTGTGCAATTTGTAGCAAGATTAATTTTTGTTTAACAGCTGTTTTTATGACATTTTATTTCGTATTATTACTACCAAATACTGTTACCGTTTGTTAATGTTTAATCCGAGATTCCTCTGACTCTAACCCCCGCTTTTATATTGTGACTTGTGCGCACAAGTCACAATATAAAAGCGGGGGTTAGAGTCAGAGGAATCTCGGATTAGTTAATGTTATGCACATGGTTATCTTGTACGTGCAAGTAAATGTAACATTTAAAAAAAAAAAATAATGAAAAAATAAGTCATTTAGGCTATTTGATAATAACATGCTAAATGAACATGTTTTGCTTTTTAATTCTCCTTCACTCAGTCTTTGTATAATGTATATTTTTAGATGAGCTGATCGCCAACCAGGAGATCAGAATGATCGCATCTGCTCCTGCCACTTTAAGGATGGTAAGAAGGAGGGGGACCCTGCATATTTTGCATGGAATGAAGGAAAGGCCATGGATTTCTCTGATCCTGAATGTACAAAAAGGTGAAATTATTTTTCAAAATATGACCGACATCTTGTTTTTGGATGGTGGGTGGGTGGAGTTTAATTGAGAATATTTTACTAAAAATCTTTAAAAGGGTATACATGTATAAACAGAGTAGCTTACAACTGAATAAAAAAATAATTCAAGTTTAATTATTTTACAAAGGAGGAAAAAACTCAAAAGTGAGGAGTCCCTGTCATCTTCACAGATGGACCAGTTGCAGATTCCACAAGCACCAAAATGTCAATATCAAGAAAAAGTAAAGCTCATTTAAAACACCAATGATGACAAATGACCAACACTGAAACATTTTCAATAATTTTTAATAATATATAAAGTTCTTTTAACTGTACATGATTTACAATATATTTTCAGTTGATATCAGAGCACAACTACTCAGCATCCTGCACATTTAACTGTACTCAAGAAATGCAGCGCCTCTCAACAGAAATACAACTGGAAAAGGAATTGCTTGCCCTAAAAATAGAGTCTAGTAAAAGGAAGCCAATATCAATCCACGATATTAAATACAACGAAGAGAAGGTACATTTAAAGGAATTCCAATTGTGATTTCCTATTTCCTAACAATTTCAGTTACTGTAATAAAAACTTGTTGCCATTGAGGGATGAACATCTTAGATTGACTGTTATGTTAACATATTTTGTTATTATTTGGGAGTTTAGGTCTCTGATCAGCAGGGGCATTTTCTCTATATAAGAAGAAAATGGAGACTCCCTACCCACCCGATGTATTTTGTCGGACAGTTTTCTGTACATTGCAGGTAAAAATTTTATTTATTAACTTTCCAGCCTCTTATTGTAAAGTACATTTTGGGTTCAGTTTTTGCTTTTCTTTAATTTTTAAAAAAAATTATTTAAATTCTCCTTTTCTTAGAATAAAATTCAAAAAGTAGCTTCTGATTGTAATGTATAAGACTACAGACATTGAACTTTGATTTGTTATCAAAAGGATTGATTTAAACTTGTCTAAATTAATTGTAAACAAAAATAAAAGGGGGCACCTGCTATTTCTTTAAGTGTTTTTCACTGGGGGGTGGGGAAACTTTTTTGTACATACTTAAGCAATAGGAGGGATTAGATAAGAATCAATTAGTATATCAGAGTCTTAAAAAATATACTTTGCATAAGCATAAAAAAATTCTATATCAGTCTTTTTAAAACCTTTGAATTTTGCTTAATTAACTATGATTTATCCAATTTTTGAGCTTTTTACCTAATTCTGGGTAGAATCCACCCTTATGAAATTATTGACTCAATTTTGACTTAATATCACTTTATTAACATCAAAGCACAAAAACAATTCATTGTACAAATATTTTATTTATTACAGTCACCAATATATCCAAATATCATCACTGGCCCAGACGTCATTCACTCCTTTGAATTGTGCTGGTAGCAGTATAAGGTGTCATCATTTGAGATGGTCACAGTATCCAATACACTGAAGTCACAGGACTCAAATTTCATACATGTTCACAGGTAGGTGTATAGTCTTTGAAATTACCACAATTGACTAATTCTGGGACAGGTAAGTATGTAAGTATAGGAATGAGAGCACCAAATCCCCGGATGCACACATGGCTTTGTTTGTTATGGAACATTAAACCGAATACTGAATGGGTAGGCGTTACGCCATTGGCTGAAATCAGGTATTTAATTGTTTTCATTTTAAAGTAAAATTAATGACCTTTGAAATAAATGATGGGATGAGGGAATATTACAGAAACTATAGAAATGCCAGGGAAGATTTTAGGAGTGGGGGTTAATTTTTTATGCCGCGTGTTATTTACTGCGAATCTCTATAAGTTGAAAATAACTGCAATTTTGACCTATAAACGCCATGGGACCATATATTTTTTTCAGTATTTTTTGTTAGGGCTTAGAACAAAGTTTGAAATGATGCTAAAGATTTTTCTGAAATTGTCATAGTAAAGTACTGAGAGGGCCTAAGGTTTGTATGGAGTTCTATGGGAAAATAATTAGTGGTCTTTTCCCTATACAAGATGCTGTCTGATGGCGTAGTGCAGAATGTAGCGTAGAATGTTTTCCAAGTCGGCTTAAATGCAAAGGTTTGTTTTAAAATTTATCATAATGACTTGCAAAAATTTAATGCAGTTAAATTTATTGTATTCTTGAAAGATTGACTGTAACACAATTTTTTTACACAATTACAAATAATCAAATTAATTTTTTTCCAACTTTTTTTCAGGGTCTCTGCCAAAATCTTTTGAGGATTTTTCCTCTGCTAGAGCATCCATGGATGCAAATGAAACAACCCAGGACATCCCAACACATATGGATAATCAGGCCATGGCCTACAGTATGTACAAAAGTTGCCATACTTTTAAAGCAGTAACTTGCGTGCCTCCAAATGGTGCACTTACATTTTGCTCCATGCTGTACCCAGGTTCTACTTCTGATGTAGCTATTGTACGTCACAGCCAAGTTTTACGAAAGTTCAAAGCTGGAGACCTTATTTTGGTGGTCAAAGGTTTCACCATTCATGACCAGTTGCCCCAGGGTGTCTGCTTAATTATAAAAGCTCTTTTATCGACACGAGGCCAGTTTACCATACAAGAAGCAGCACTGTTACAAGATTGCTAAAGCACTTATTCATGTGGAAAGAGCCAACGAGAGGATAAAGAATTACGAGATTCTCCGTCACATACCATCTACTTACAGACCAATCTCAACAAAAATATTTCAACTCTGTTCTTGTCTTGTAAACTTGCAAGCTCCACTTTTGAAAGAAATTACTTAAAGATACATGTACTTATTATAAATTTGCATTGGCGTGTGACAGTATACACTAAACAGTGAAGATATTCATACCAAAGTGCAAGGGATAAGCAAATTTTGATTTGTTATCAATGTCAATGGTTATATTTGTTAACTTTGTAGTATGTTGTAATACATGTACTTCAGAAAATGAAAATCCCTTTTGTTTAGCATGGATTTATTACAAGAATGTTTGGCAATTCGATTCTTCATTTGACAATATAATTTGGAAGAGGGTTTACTTATAATTTTAAATCTCTAGTTTAAAGTATATTTACCTTTAAAGCACAACTCAACAAATTCATGTTTTCAACAATTTATCTATTAAGAAAGACAAAAATGTTACATTTTCACTTTGAGAATAACATCTTCAATTCATTAATAAAATGATTCTAAATTTTGATATTCTTTTTTTATGTAGTACATAGATTTTATTAATCATCATTGCTATTTAAAATAGTCTTATAAGCCAGAAGTTTTATGATGGATTCATTGGATTGTGACATATCATATCATACATTTATGAGACTTGGGAACATTCAACACATTTAACATGATTACCCATTTTCCATTGTTAGAAAATTCTAGAGGTACAAAACTAAGTGTCAAGAAGTTCAAACCAGAACTCAGTTTTCCATCAGTGCTGGAATGAAAATGTTAATGTAGAAATCTATCAGCTTTGGAACATTTGCTGTCCATTCAATGTCTTTTACTATTCTAATCACAATGCAGTCTACTCTTGTCCACACAATTAAGTCGCAGAATGTTTTGTTACATATGTGTAGCTGGCCTTGAATTTGATGATAGTACGGGTGACTGGTTTTCAGGCACAGGGTATCTTGTTTAAGATCTAAAAAAAAAATCAAAAAACACTTAAGTTGTGTCATACCAGTACATATCCCCTCCTTTTTCAATATCTTCATACCATATTGAACAGCTGCACTTGTAAATTAATACATGTTTTGAAATCATTTACTCACCAAGATTTTTAATTTCAAAGTACTGGACAATACAGATTTTTAATGTTATTTACCTATGAAAAATCCTTCAAATTTTGTGCCCCATCTGCTACTGTTGAAGACGATGCTGTATATGGACACTTCACCTCTACAATATCAGGAATGGCGTCTTTGGCTTCTGGAGTTTGATAAAATACACTGCATGTTGGTGGTCGAACAACTAAGCCATCAGGCCGGTGAAGCTCCCAACACTCCGGATTCATGCAACCATATCCTTTCCAGAAAAAATTATAATACTACTGAATGCAAACAAACCATAATACAATTGATTTTGTAATGCAAACAAAGTCTAAGTAGAGCTTTTATAATCCTTCTACTTCAAAAAGCAAATTTTCTGGAATATGTTGGTAACTGAATATTTATGCCCCGCCATGAATATGGCCGGGGCATATAGTGTTTGTCATGTCCGTCTTCTGTCCTTCTGTCCTTCCGTCCCACTTTGTGTTTAGCTCTGTTCAAAGCTAAGTTTCAAAGAAACTATCCAAGATATTTTCATCAAACTTCATATGCTGATAGATATTGATGAGAGCTATGCAACTGCATCAACATTTTTTGACCTTGACCTTTCCTTTGACCTTGACCTGACTTTTCTTAAATAGTGTTTAGCTCTGTTTTAAACATACCATTCAAGATGGTGTTATCAAACTTTACATGTTGATACAAACTTGCATAGATGATGCATCTAGAGATGAACACTATCGGACTTGCTTCGGATGCTGGATCTGACCTACATTTTCCAGATGAGTGACCAGGTTGAAGTTTTTGGAGCAGATTTATTCCTAAGGAACTATCAGCCCTACTTAGACCAAACTTGCATGGATGATGCATCTAGGGATGGACACTACCAGACTTGCTTCGGATGCTGGATCTGACCTACATTTTCCAGATGAGTGACCAGGTTGAAGTTTTTGGAGCAGATTTATTCCTAAGGAACTATAAGCCCTACTTAGACCAAACTTGCTTGGATGATGCATCTAAGGATGGACACTACCAGACTTGCTTCAGATGTTGGATCTGATCTACATTTTCCAGATGAGTGACCAGGTTGAAGTTTTTGGAGCAGATTTATTCCTAAGGAACTATCAGCCCTACTTAGACCAAACTTGCATGGATGATGCATCTAGGGATGGACACTACCAGACTTGCTTCGGATGCTGGATCTGACTCACATTTTCATTCCCAAGTAACTATAAGCCCTACCTAAACCAAACTTGCATGGATGATGCAGCTAGGGATGGACACTACCAGACTTGCTTCGGATGCTGGATCTGAACTATATTTTCATTCCCAAGTAACTATAAACCCTACCTGAACCAAACTTGCATGGATGATGCATCTAGGGATGGACACTACCAGACTTGCTTTGGATGCTGGACCTACATTTTTATTCCCAACTAACTATAAGCCCTGCCTGAACCAAACTGATCAAATTTTATACATGTACAAATTTCATGTTGCTTTACTAATATATCCTCGGCGGGGCATTCATGTCCTATGGACATATTTCTAGTTTTTTTTTTTACAATTAGACTTCAGTAATTGATTTCTGTTTTTTTACCAGGATAAGTCCTGTTATTTGTTTTGACACATTGAATGTTAACATGTCAGAGGTTGAATGAATGTTATTTTGTGCTGTATACCTGACTGCTCTACAGCTGCATCAAAGTCCTTTTCATACTTTCTCAAAGCATCATCTTCATGAGTGATACCCCATGCAACAGCCTTGATGGACTCCAGATTGTAAGCCGACATCAGCTGTTTCTTCAGTGACAATGTCAATCTGGAGAAGAAAATATGATTTTTGGTTATTAATCTTATATTTCCTGCATCTTTATGTACAAATATCTAGTCATTACAGTCGAACCTCATTATCTCAAACTCAATGAGACCAAGAAAAATGTTGGAAATATCCGTGGATTCAAGAATAATACATAAAGAGTTATCAAGAATAAAATGTCCCAGTCTTTTATAAATGGTTTGGACTTCAAAATTACTTTGACATATCCATGAAATATGAGATAACAAAGTTTGACTGTAATTTTAAAAGTCTATTTCGCAAAAATTTAATCACACGTCTTACCGCCTTTGCTTAGAACTGAGAACTGCACCAAAGTTGGAAGCTGATATGCTATGTTTCCTTACAATCGACCACATTGGGTTGTTTCCTTGCCAATGCAGCTCTTTTAATGGATTCAGGGATAATGCATGCTGTAACCATACCATAGGGGTATCAGAATGAACATACTCTGGTGATGTTAACAGGTCTTCAATGAGAGGTACAGGTGGACCAGGTTCACATGGCTCTGGTTCAAGAATCCAATTCAATGCTGAAAAATTTCATTACTTGTGTCATTCTCAAAAATATCATCCATAATATCCATATCACATATACCAAGTATTTATATAAGAGTCCATACATTTCATTTTAGTGAACACTGTCATGGGTTTTTGTAATGTATGCATTACATATCAAATTTACAACTCACTTGCATATATTTGTTCAGAATTGTTCCTGTATATAATTTTGCACGTGGCATTCTTAGTGTGAAAATGCCATGTAAAAATTGGTGCAAATGTACAATTAATATTTACTTAATTATTAACAAGGTTTCATAATGACAGAGTATTTAAATAATAGAAGAATGATCTGATAATTCGCAAGAATATGAAACAAAATATTTTTTTTAATGCAATTGAATAATTTATTTTTCCTTTCAAAAATGTATGCTCATGTACAAAAATGCTATCATATTTATAATATTGTCTTTCCAATTATTCAAAGGTTGTTATTAATATTTATTACATAGTATGTTCAAAAATTGGGCATTATACATAGCCAACTATATTATACTCCTCATCTTTGTACATTTGTTCACAATTAAAATTAACCATCGGTCAGTAACAAAATAACAGTTTCATAATACTCGTAATATAAAAATCGAATCAAACTTAAATAACAACAATAGTAACACCAAAATCATAACTTCCTTCTTATATTTTACCAATAAACCTTCCAAGGTGCAAAAAACACTGGTCACTTTCATCAGAGGGTCGGTTTAAGGCACTTCAAATATGAAGCAAATTTTTTAACAACTGACTTATTTATATTTAATGATTGATCATTTTTTAAAAAAAAAAAAAAAAAAACAAGAGGCCCATGGGCCACATCGCTCACCTGAGCACTGTGGCTAGGAAAAAGTAAAAATTGGTTTTTTATTGAAAAGTTTAAATCCAAAAGTAGTCCCTTGACCAATCATGGCTTTGCTTTTCTTGAGAAGGTTATTTTTAAAGAATTTTCCTATATATTTCTATATAAAATTTGATCATCCTTTGTGGCCCCGTCCTACCCCCGAGGACATGATTTGAACAAACTTGAATCTACACTACCTAAGGATGCTTCCATATAAATATGATCAATCAGGGTTTTGCTGTTCTTGAGAAGAAGATTTTTAAAGATTTTTCCTTTATATTTCTATGTAAAACTTTGATCTTCCATTGTGGCCCCGCCCTACCCCGGGGGTTATGATTTGAACAAACTTGAATCGACACTACCTGAGGATGCTTCCATATAAATAGGATCAATTATGGCTTTGTCATTCTTGAGAAGAAGATTTTTAAAGAATTTTCCTATATATATTTTTATGTTAAACTTTGGTCAGCCATTGTGGCTCCGCCCTCCCCCCGGTGGTCATGATTTGAACAAATTTAAATCTACACTACCTGAGGATGTTTCTCCATAAGTTTCATTTTTCCTGGCACAGTGGTTCTTGAGAACAAGATTTTTAAAACATACCATCAAATTTACATTCATTCCCAATTATCTCCCCTTGAATGAGGGTGTGGCCCTTTATTTGAACAAACTTGAATCCCCTTCACTCAAGGATGCTTTGTGGCAAGTTTGGTTGAAATTGGTCCATGGGTTCTAGAGAAGAAGTCGAAAATATAAAAAGTTTACAGACAGACAGATGGACAGACAGACAGACAAACAGCTAGATAGACAAAATGTGATCAGAAAAGAGCTAGAAATGAAACATTCCTCACCACAAAAGCCAGAAGAATATAGGGACCACCACCAGTAACATGTTTCTGGGAAGAACCAAACCAAGCAGAGATAAATATCAATAGTCCTGAATCTTCGATGCAGGACCAAGTACGAGAATTGCTACAAACACTACTCCGGAGACTTACCTATTATCCTATGATGTAACATACTTTGTCCACTGCAGCTGGTTCCCTCATAAGCTGGTAGCGAAGACAGTTCAGGATGTCCTGTCAACTTTGTTCCTCAACTTCCTGTCTTGGACAGAAAAGCAATAAGTGGAAATCTTTAGTGTTGCCTAGTGACTTTGAATTAAAAAGAAAGTTGCAAGATTGTGAAGGGGGGGGGGGGGGGTTCTGATGCTGTGCATTTTAATTAAATGTACGAAATCTGTATTTCACAGTTTAATGCATTCATGTATTTTGTGAATTGTCTTAGGATTCGTGTAATAATTGTTGCTATGTATTATTAAGCACTAAATCTATTCAACTGCATGTGTAAATGGGGAAAATGTGAATATGTAAATGATGTATAATTGCAATGTGTAAAATGTGACATTTTCTTATATGAGGGAGTCAGTGTTCATGTAATTTTTTTTTTCATTAATTATTTTATTTATCTTGATAAAATTATTTCAATTAACAATATTGTTTTTCTTACCAGTCTGATGAACTCAACAAAGGTTACAGAGGTGAATGGTAGAAATATGGGTATTACAGGTGTCAAAACTCTTCGTTGAAGACCAGACTGCATGCCGCACTGTAAAATCACCATTTTTGATCTTTAAAAGGGGAGGCTACTCCTGAAATCAAAGAAATTGTCATAAAAATGAGTAACCTGATTTTCTTTAGGTCTCACACAAGGAAATAATTTCACTATATGTTACTATATAGCTTTAATTAAATAAATTAATTAACTAGACTCTCAGCAGATAATTCATGAATGAGAAAAAAGATTAATGCTTAGACAAAATTTGAGATCAGAAAAAATATACCCCTTATGCGGCTTTTAAGAAAGAAAATTGAGACTAAACATACCTATACCCCGAAATACACATGGGCAAACAGCCAACACACCATCGAGGAAGTTACATCGATCATGCGTACCTAAAAAAAAAGAGTTCCCTTTGATTCAGTGGCACAATTCTGCTGATATGATATTCCTAGTGCATGAGTCCAAAATTAAAACTGTAGACCTACGTAAAGTTCCTGAAAATGAAAAAAGAAAAGAAATATTATTGTCTCTATATACATCATACATAGAACTACATTTGTTCATTTTAATTAGCTATCTCCTTGCATAAGACCTTTAAGGGTAATTTTATGCTATTTACCATGTGCACTGATTGCCATAAAACTAAAGAAAAAATACCAGCCTTACAAAGTCACTTAACCATGACCTTTGACATACCTTACTAAGAATACCCTGGACAATTTGGTTTAACTTAAGACTTCGGAATTTTTAAATGCAGGTTTTGATAAATTAACCATTTAATATACTTATGAGCTCATAAAACTGTTCTTTAAAACTGTATGATAAAGAGACGTGTAAAAACTTTGAAACATGTTTGGAAAGTATTATCACACATGTGATATGGGATAAATTATCACCACAGAAAGATCAAAGAAAATCACTGCAGATATGCGACAATAATTCTTATCATTGTTTATTGTATGTCAAGTCTAGAATATGATATATCATTACAAATATTATGATTTTTAGCTGGGCACATTGCTCGTAGAGCAATGCTCAGCTATTGCGACGGTGAGCAACAGAAAATGCTGCTTCTTCACCGCCAAATTGAGTTTACGAGTAAAAGTATGGTACGTGCACCAGCTGCTGTTCAGAAAACAAAATCCATTCAACACCTTAAGAAATAGTAAATTGAATATTTTTATCATAATATTAAATTGTTTAATATTTTTTCCTGGCTCCTTTGACTAATATTTTACAAAGTAATTCAACGGGTGCAAAAGGTTTTCACTAGGTATCCCTGTCTGCATCATATTCTATAAACAATATAATTAAAATTAGATGTTAGATCCGCTCGCATACTCGCCACACTAACATCTAACAAGTCATCCCATTGAGGGTCACGTAAGAGGTTAAATTCGGAACGCCTCAAGATTTATTCGCTTCAACAATATATGATGATTTTGCCAGCTGCGATTTGATTAATTGATAGAATTTGACCTCTGACGTGACCCTCAACAGGATGTTGTTAGATGTTAGTGTAGCGAGTATGCAAGCGGATCTAACATCTAATTTGAATTAGATTGATTCTATAAATAAAGGTTGTACTATCAGGCTAACACAAATGCAGGGAACATCATTAATGACTTGATGCAAATCTCCCCGCTGAGAACACATCAGTGCAGAGACGTTTGACCTTAATCTTGCTGCATTGGTGTTTATTTACTTCTGTTTGTATATATAAAACCGGATTACCCCGAAACGATACGTGATAAATATTTTTCGCTGTTAATTTCTAGCTATATTTTATTTTATTTTTAAAACTATTTAATATTATACATGCCATTGAGATATTTTTGTGTGTATTACATATTCTCTAAACGTCTGAACGTGATTTTAAACTGTCACCACAGTCCTTGTTCATTATCCTGTAAATGTCAATACTTTAAACAGGTTTACGTACATGTATTATTTTTTCATAAGAATACATTTACTATAAAAATAATTGGACAAATTTGTGAATGACAATATTCAATGATGCATAGCAATTAATCTTTTCCTGACATTCACCTTCTCCTAAAAATTTGTCGTGTTATTTATTTATTTATTGCAAAGTCGTCCCTGGACTAGTGCTACGGTCAATGCAGCTGCAATGGGCCATGCAATTTCGAACCCTGCGTGGTGAGAGTTTGTCCCGAGACACAGTTAGATTATTCTAACTAGCACCAATATAGAATAAATCATACCGATCAATCAACATCACTACAATATGAGGACGTAAAAATAGGATAGAACATCCTTTAGTCCAGCAATAAGCCACTCAATTGTTTTTGATGTACCTTCAAACAAATCAAATTAATGTTCTTGATTCTCACTTTTCACGTTATGACTGACTTAGTGCTTCTTGATACCAAAACAATTTTTCTATTACCTATAATTTTGACTTTAGGTTGAATTCGCCAATTTCATGCTTGCGAAGTTGTGTCAATGTGTGCATTACGACCGCTCCAGCTACTTTCGTTATTTCTAACCAATGAAAATTGTCCTTACTTTTCTGTTGCGTCATGCAATTTTATTGCACGCATCACTGAATTGTAGAACACACATCACAAGATTTCGAATATACATCACAAGATTATCGAACATACATCACAAGATTTCGAATATACATCACAAGATTATCGAACATACATCACAAGATTTCGAATATACATCACAAGATTATCGAACATACATCACAAGATTTCGAATATACATCACAAGATTTCGAACATACATCACAAGATTATAGAATATACATCACAAGATTTCGAATATACATCACAAGATATTGAATATACATCACAAGATTTTGAACATACATCACAAGATATTGAATATACATCACAAGATTATAGAATATACATCACAAGATTTCGAATATACATCACAAGATTATAGAATATACATCACAAGTTTTAGAATATACATCACAAGATATTGAATATACATCACAAGATTTTGAACATACATCACAAGATTTTGAATATACATCACAAGATTTCGAACATACATCACAAGATTTTGAATATACATCACAAGATTTTGAAAATACATCACAAGATTTCGAACATACATCACAAGATTTTGAATATACATCACAAGATTTTGAATATACATCACAAGATTTCGAACATACATCACAAGATTTTGAATATACATCACAAGATTATCAAATATTGCAACGTTTGACATGCCATATCCATGAGATAACGATTTAAAATATTTTACATACACATGTGTATATCACAACAGGCACTGCAAGGCAGAACATTGTGCATATCTATACATCAAGACAACATCCAAAATTTATCTTGATACAAATAATGCCACTTCCTTTTCGAACAAGGACAAAGTAATACTCAAACACAAGTACCTACGCACACAGTGGCGCGTTTCTATGTCCCCTTCAACTCCGTCTATAGGTTATTTTTCTCTGAATATTCGGACTTCCAGACACTTTATTCAATCTGCATTTTGTCTGTAAGTGCAGCGTACTTAACAGAGGTACTTGACAATATAAACATTCTTAGTATGTCATTGAAATTAAAATTTCTCAGAAAAATCAGTAAGCCTTGAATTTCCGAAGTGTGATAAGAATTTGCCTCAACATCAAATACACTAAGGAAGGATGAAATCTTGAAGATATGACGTATATCTACTTAAAGCATTTTCACACATACTGAAACAGGAATTAAATTTCTTTCAGGATATACCCATTATGTCATTTAACTCGATCTTTTTAAAAAAAAAAAAAAAAAAAAAAAAAAAAGCGAATGCATTTTTAAAAAAAGATAATAAATAAAAAGGCTAATAAGTAAGTCATAAATCAATAAACAAATATAAATATGAATCTACTTTTTTTTCAAATTAATTAGACAAGGATCATTTTAATTCTACACTCAAGTGTGTTGACAGTACTCATGTAGTGTTTCGAGACGACGTCTTCGAAAATTCTGTTTGATTTCCTATAAAAACAAATCGTGCTCCTTTAATAGCCGATAAGTTTTTCTTTACCTATGAACCAGAATTTATTTTTTCTTATTCTCTATACATTAAGAAAAAAGAAAAAAAAATATTGCTTTGCTTGATGTACCAACGACGTTTTATCAAATGATAATACATGTATTCATTGTCATGTCGACTAGATATATATGAATGAACCTGAAAATACAGTTAAAGTATAGCATTGCGGGAGTTAGCAAGATTCCAGTTTCCCTCGGACAGGACTATTTCCCGAGGCGAAAGATTCCAGTTCCCCAAGGTCAGGACTATTTCCCGAGGTGAAGCCGAGGGAAATAGTCCTGGCCAAGGGAAACTGGAATTTTGCTAACTCCCGCAATGATATACTTTTTAACTGTTTTATTATAGCGATACAGACATAAAATTTAGAGGAGTCAGATAGCGTTATTTCAAAGCCGGGATTAGCTCACTGAACTAACACACGGGGATTAGTCCACTCACATATGATACCAATGTAAAAGTAATATGTAGAGAATAACTAATAAAATTACCTTTCGGTGCATGGATTAGCTCATATGACTAACACACGAGGATTAGTCCATTCAGAACGATTTCTAGGGAATTAGTCATATCTAACGATCTAATGTTATATAGGGAAAATCAGTAGAGGTATAATGAAAGATGCGATTCCATCTTCAACTTTCCTTATTTATGTAGTTTCACCTTCTACTGCATATGACGTTTATATGTCCCTTTTAATTCGCGACTCTTCTAACTGATTATGTGCGCGAGAATAAGGTGAAAATTCAAATAATGAAAGGGTACTGAACTACTGATTAGTAAGTTGATGTTTCAAGGGTTTCAAAAATCTCTAGTTATGTTAGCAAAGAAAATGTAGACCTCCATTTTATCGTTGATTTATCACTTCAAATTAAGAAATAACTGTCTGATATTTTGGTTTCACGGTGTGATCAATCGAGTGACGTGCGTGATACATGTAATTTGCATAAACGCCTTTAGCGTTTATGCATATTATTAACATGCATGCCGATCGATTGATCATCGTCATGAAACCAAAAAATATGACAGTTATTTCTTATATTGCTTGCTCTTGATTCCGCAAATTCATGTGCTACAAGCCCCGCTTATGTCTCTATTTGTCCCACTCCGCACTTGATTTTTTTTAACCACGCCCATCGATGAACCAGAAGATTTATGTAGAAATAAGTATTTTTGGTATTTGTAATTTTATCTCGGACAAAGACATTGAAAATGTAAATAAGTATCTTCACCTTCACCTGCGTATGATGTTTATACGAGTATGTCCCTACTAATTTGCTACGTTCCAACTGATAATGTGCACGATTCAAATCAAGGAAGGGTACTGATAAATAAGTTGATGCCAAAGGTTTTCAAAAATTCCGATTTATAAGTTAGCAAAGACAATTAAGACCTCCATCACTCTGTCATGATCTAAATGTTGAAATTACCTGGTGGGAGTAAATACAACATTTCATGTTCTAAATTTTGTAATCACTCCCACCCGGTAAATTCAAAATTTAGAACATGACAGCTCCGTAAAATACATCCTGTTGCGTGACGTGATTTAGCACTCCAAATGAAATCATGCAAGTCATGCAAGATAATGACGCACTCTCTTTTCATAGAACTTCAGTTGTGATGGTTGTTCAGACTATTAGGCAAAAGTTATCGAAAGGGGACCCTTGAAAAAAGTACACTATGTACTTATCTGTAGCAAAATATCTGTATAATTTAAGGATCCTTATCTTGGCCAAAAAGCCAACATTTTAGAAACAACAAAAAAATTGTTTTCAACTTGATCTGTGCATGGTTTATCAGGCGAATATGAAATACTAATAAGATTTATTTTTCACATCGGTCTAAAAAGAAAAAAGGGAACTTTCAAATTGATAGGATTCGGTGAACTTTAAAATAATGTGTGTTTGCCCTATGCAGATTCTGAACGAAAAAGTAAGCTAGGTAGACTGGGATTTTTTTTATGAAAATTTCATCATCAATGTTGAGTTTTCAAAGTAATTTTTTTCCAGAATGCATTAATGATAAATATAATCGTTTTTTTTTAAGGTTAAATAAAATTTTGCGTCGGGCTGGGCGTACTTTAGGCTTATTTTGTGTCAAATGAAACCCCGCCTTCAGTTAAGACCAACAAACGTCTTCTGGTGCTGGAAAATCTCCATTTCGACCGAAAAAATTAAAGAAACAGAAAAACAACCTCGGTGTTTTTCTTGGTTTTCTGGTTGCGATTGTCTCTATTTCATAGTTCTGCAGCGATCCTCAAGGGTGCGTTCTAGAGTGTAGCGGCTACATAGCATCTACGTTAAGGTCAAGATCTAGTAAATGAAAGGTGCCTACAGATTTATCAAATTTGAGAAATAAATTCCTTTATTGATGCTTTACAACTTTAGCGTGGTTAAATAAGGTGTTTCGGAGCATAATTTGTAGGCAAACAAGATGAAAAGTAAGCTAGGTAGACTGGGATTTTTTTAATGAAAATTTCATCATCAATGTTGAGTTTTCAAAGTAATTTTTTTCCAGAATGCATTAATGATAAATATAATCGTTTTTTTTTTAAGGTTAAATAAAATTTTGCGTCGGGCTGGGCGTACTTTAGGCTTATATTGTGTCCAATGAAACCCCGCCTTCAGTTAAGACCAACAAACGTCTTCTGGTGCTGGAAAATCTCCATTTCGACCGAAAAAATTAAAGAAACAGAAAAACAACCTCGGTGTTTTTCTTGGTTTTCTGGTTGCGATTGTCTCTATTTCATAGTTCTGCAGCGATCCTCAAGGGTGCGTTCTAGAGTGTAGCGGCTACATAGCATCTACGTTAAGGTCAAGATCTAGTAAATGAAAGGTGCCTACAGATTTATCAAATTTAAGAAATAAATTCCTTTATTGATGCTTTACAACTTTAGCTTGGTCAAATAAGGTGTTTCGGAGCATAATTTGTAGGTAAACAAGATGAAAAACTGTATTTTAAACTGTCATTTTCAATGAAAAATTAAGAAAACCAGTCATGAGTATGGGAGTTTTCTTCATATTCGACAAAGGAAATGTATCCAGATTGCCTACAGTCTCTCAGAAAACGGTAATTAATATGTTCATGGCCTCTTCTTTAAATCAATATCAAATTTAATATAGGTATCCGGTTTACTTTTCATATGATTTCAAATTGAATGTCATGAAAATACCCTATTTTTTACATAATTCTGCTAAAGCTGTAAAGTACGGGAAAAAGAAAGTTGAAATTGATTATGACGTCATAATGGATCTAGCACCAACAAATTAGTCTAAAGTTATTTACTAGATCTTGACCTTAAGGTCAAGATCTAGTAAATGACTTTAGACTAGCTTTTTAATGCTACTTAGTGAAAGCTAGCATAAATAGAATATTTGATGCTTTTAAAATATCAAATCTAAGAGTTTCCGATTACATGTAGTTTCAAATTCGCAACACACGATTTAAACAATAAAGGTGACCGTTTCCTACATATTAATCGATTTAGATTTAAAAATTCGCTTGAAATAAAAATCTTGTTTTCCAAAAATAACTTATTTATTTTTAATGTTTATTTCACTTTCAAATTCTGTGACTGTTAAATGATGTGACCTGCTTTTGGAACTTAGGACTTGTGTCCAATTAAGGACTTATTATCTCTGGGCGATAGGTAGCATACGGTACATTCAAACCAGTTTGCTGATTTGGATAATTTGGAATTGGAATTATGATGACGCCAGGTTCCATAAAGATTTATGAGTTAAGAAATCGCGGGCGGATTGCAAGTTATCATATCCCATTTCATTTGATTTTACCGAATGTGACAAAATTGTCAAAGCAGTACAAGTTGCAACCGCCTGTTTGATCTGCACGAGTCCTTAGAATTTGTTATTTTATCTTACCTACCGCCATGAAATGTAAAATTTCATATGCAATACCACTAAACATTTCCCAAACACGAAATAAAATCCCAAATAACCAATATTTTTCCTTAAACCTCGAAAATTTGATCCAAAGAAAATATTTGATTTTACAGTACTCACTTTTCATGAAGAAAATTGAAATACATTAAATTCTAGTACACAAAAGTACTACTGTCAATGCCTTCATTAATCACACTTTCCCTTAAAAGAATCGTTTCAAATTCAATATAGCTTCTGAGGAATTCTTTTGCATAGACCCTCTCTTTAAATATACTCAGTACTTAAGATGTTGAAATTTTGATTTTAGATCCTCGACATCCCTAACGGGTCGGTTTCCAATACTTGTCTGTAATTGTACATAACTGTTTTCTAATTCTTCCTTAAGCTCATGAAAGAGTTGCACCGTGTAAACTTTTTATGAACATTGAAGTTTTGAAAACTGTACTTGGTCTCTATATTTGTATGAGTATTCGGTTTAAAGGTTTCGGACTAGTCCGTGTCGAGCTGTTCCAATGCAAGTACCCTGATGTCTGATATATAAGCATTCTTCAAATAATAAATTGACGAGGTCAATGCAAAACCGTTCAAAAAAAGGAATCAACAATATTTTTTCAAATTTTACTATTTTTATTCACTTTTTTTTTTTACTGTATTGGTTCATTTCTTAACATTCTAAAAAATTCTCACAAATCATAGCTAGAGGAAATAAAACAAGCTACTCTCAATATTTCAAAATGTTTGCAATGTAGGTATACCATCATTTTGTTTTACTGAACACATCACTCAACTAAAAACTCTAGTAAAATAAACACAATAGATAAATTTAGGCAAAGAGATTCAGTCTGATCATGCGAAAAAGGGAGAAAATGAGTAAAAAGGAGGAAAATGTACATGACATATGAATAATTAAATTTCCCTCAAATAAAGAACAACTCATACAGTACATAAAACGTATATTTTCAAAAAATAAATTATAAGCAATATACAATTGTACTAGGAACTTTTCATGAAAGTAAATACAAAAAAATCATGGTTTATATATTTTAAAATCTGTATACAAGTAAATAAATATATCAATGAAAAAAAGAAGAATACGGATTGGCAGATATTGGCCCATATTTTAACGAATCACAATTTTGATAACTCTCTAAATGAATAGTTCGTAAAATATGAAATTTCAAACAAAATTAGAGATCAAATTTGAAAATGAAGAATTTTAATTTCATTCTTTAAATAAAAAATTACAATAAATGTTCTTTTTCTTGCACTAATCGATCAAATTTAGCACTATTTGTAAAAATAGCAATATAAGACTTAAGGAAATTAAAAGGAATGAAAGACATTGGTATGAGTTATCTAACTTTGTGAGACAGAGGGCTTAAAATACCTTAAAATCAATATTCCCTGAGTAAGCCGCGACTAAAAAGATAACGCAACAACGTCATAAATACGTAAACCATACATGTACGATTAAACAGAATTCTTTTGTACAAAAGCATAAACTATTCAGCAAAAATTTGTTCGTAGAAAAATAAATTTAATCCGCTTCCCATAAAAACACGATGTCTCGAATTGAAGTAGCAATTCGTCACTTCTCTGACAAATGTCCTGGGGATCGAATTGACAAATAAAGCATGGACATGGTATATATTGTACTAACACAAAATACGTGCTACACTACTTCTACCCACAGTGTTGAGATCCAATAGTACATAAAGCTTACCATGGCAATGACAACAAATGTAAGATCGAATCATTAACAAGCTAACAATAAAAGCGAGTCTCTTGCAATAAGACTTACTAGTACTACACTGAACACTCGTGGAGATAAAATAAAATATTGACTAAAAATATTGTTTCATAAAAAAAATCTGATAATTATTTATTTAACCTCGGTGATATATGAGTCATGAATTAAGATGCAAAACCTCCATGATACATGGTCATAAATTAAGATACGAAACCTCGATGATACATGGTCATAAATTAAGATACGAAACCTCGATGATACATGGTCATAAATTAAGATGGCGGATGATGATATGTGTAGATCATGTGACGTCATTGCAACATATTTGCTGTATATTGTCAGATCGAGTTTCGGATTGAGGACCAGGATATGCAACTATAACATCCAAACACCCTTAGCTAGTGGACTCATATCTTGATTTGACAAGTTTGCTGCAAGAAAATAATAAGTCCCGGGAAACTCCAGACTAACCATTCATTCGTTCCGTTCATCTTTATCTCAAATTCCACTCGCACTACAACATTTTATTACGCTTCTAAACCCCTAAAATTGTCGTATGGGTATATGCAGATGTGTGTGAAAATGATCATTACATTAACACAACTACCACTATATACTTCACACCTTCAACAGTTCACACCAGAACAAAACAAAAAAATCAGCATCACAGACATGTTTGTTTCTATGGTCACCCGTCATCAAGCCATATCGGGGCCGTTAAGTACATTGGAAGAACTGAAGGGAAAGTCTGATAACGTAGTATTAGTTGTCATATTGGATAAATTACTGCTCATCAGCTTAGCGAAAGCGCTACGGTCAGATCTGTACGTCACTCCATTGTCCCTATATTCAAATTTCTTGTTGGCTTCTGAGGGTCCCCAAGACTTCAACGGTTTGACACCTTCACGTAATAACTGGTTTACAAAAAAAATTTCAAAAAAAATTTAATAAAGTTTTGATGAAATTTATTCAAACTGTATGATTATTATTCATGATTTTTTCCAAGATCTTTGAAAATTTGAGGATGTATATTTACCTTCCATCCGCCATCGGTGCAGTATTTGGCAAGGAACCACAATGGAATGACGATAATAGGAAACATTACGATTAGCCAGCCGAGAGATTTGGCCCATGCAGGATATGTCTGTCCGTCAAGATCGGGCTCGGAGTACATAACAATATTCATTAAGACTGTGACCTGCAGGAATCAAAACATCTTTATTTGTAGATTTATCCTTCACCATTTTGTCAAATTTACAATGAAATATGAGACAAATAACAGTTTTCCAGCCCAAAAATCTATTCAAGCAACATGTTAAATTTAGGAGCAGAGCAATCATCACGAGGCGGGATCAGATGTCATGGAGGAGTAAGCATCCCCTGTGGACCGCTCACACCCGACGCGTGCTCTTTGACATGATCAGGCATACGAAAAGTGCATTTTTGTTTGAATAAAGAAGAGTAATGCAAAGAATACTTACAGCTATTACTAAAATTGATATAAACTTCCAACAAATTTCCCAGTATTTACTCGGTCTGCTTCCAAGCATGGAATAAATATTGTCAGAAAATCTGTTATATCCTAAAAACAGAAGAAAAGAATATTCATTTACTTAGAATAAAACTTCTTAAAATAATTATTAACCTATTATTATTTTTCATTTGCAAAATTCACAGAGGTGTCATGTTCTAAATTTTTAATTTACTGGATGTGAGTAAATACAAAATTTAGAACATGACAACTCTCACCCGTTAAATTCAAAATTTAGAACATGACAGAGGAATCAAATGGCATAAACAGATTAAATATATACCGTAGATCCAGCTGATTGCCATTAATTCAAAGAGTCCGACAACTAACAGGGGAAATCCGCCAACACTGAAGTCTACCAAGTTCAGTAGATAAATTCCACCCTATAATAAAGTTAAAGTTAGTGGCGTTTTATTTTCCTGAATATAGCAAAACATAAAGGAAAGATCTGCATTCAAACATGCGGAAAGACGTGCTGGTTCGTTTAATTCATATTTATAATGTATAAATGTGCATTTACTTTTGATATCAAATTTCTCGGTTTATATCGTTAATAATTCCTCTGAGATTTGAAGCAGATAAATATTTATAGCAAAATTAATGTACTGCAGAAAATATATCTATTATTTATTAAAATCCTGTACTGATTACGTAAAATATTAAATGTCAGAAAGTGAATGTTTCGTCATGTAAGAGACCATCGGAAAATTAACATGAAGCGGATGTCCGCCTTCCGTTTAGCAATCCCCCATTACCTTGCAAACCATCGGAAGTCCCAATAAGAAGCTGAATGCTGTGAACACAGTGCGGAATATAATGTTGAATTTTCTGGGCTGAATTTGAGGAAACACGTCCGTCAGGGCGCTAAGTACACATTCCACGATTGAGAACTAAAATTTAACATATTTTTAATTATTTTTTTTAATATGAAACCAAATGTTAAACAATTAAGGGGATATTCAGTATAGATATCTGGTTTCTCTTGAATTATACATTTCAGTTGCATATCTTCTTGAGACCAAAGTTTTTATATATTTGAAAAGTATCTTGATTAATACCTCTGAGCCAAAACCGAGGGTTGCCATCATTATGAAGAAGAGAACAGCCCACATAGGCGCAACTGGAAGACGTGACAAGGCTTCGGGATATACGATGAAAGCCAGCCCTGGTCCTGGAGAATAAAGTATGAAACTATTAAAGAACGCTTTTAACAAATTCTATACAGCATTGGAGATTTAAATTGCACAAGTGCTTCCTTGTTTTATGGTGGTATGCTATGAGAAAGATAGGAAAACTTGAAGAGTGGATGAATCAGAAATATACATTTAGTTTTCTACACATTTGAAAATGAGTAGGTTTCTTCAAAGCAAGTTTATATTACTTTATTTTATGCAAACTTTTCCTAAATTGTTAAGTTTGTCAACAAACAACACCGTACTAATGACTTGGATATAGTCTTTATAATATATACTCTTTTGTTATGCTTTGCAATTTCTAATTAATGTGCTGACCTCCTTGTGCAACCTCAGAAACGGGTACATTCTTTTCCTGGGCCATGAAACCCAAAATAGAGAAGATGACAAAACCAGCAAAGACGCTTGTACCACAGTTGATGATGCAAACAATTAATGCGTCACGATAGCAGTTGTTCTTAAATTTGTTGTAGCTGGACATGGCGATCAGCCCTCCTGAGCATGCACTGAGTGAGTAAAATATCTGTGTACAGGCGTCGCTCCAAACACGTGGTTCCAAGAGTTTTGCAAAGTCTGGTTTAAGGTAGTATACTATACCATCGGCAGCGCCCGGAAGTGTAACACCCCGGAACATGAGAACGATCAGCATGACGTAGGGGAAAATGGCGGTGAAATACACAACCTGTAAGATTGGATGATAGATAAAAAATGGGGGGTTTTTTTTGTTGTTTTTTTTTAACTCGTGTATTCTTATTATATATTAACTACATGCATATTCATTGCAATTCATTGCAATACACCATTTTTTTTTTGGGTGAACTTTCTGCTCTGAAATTGAGTGTTATTTTACAAGTAATTGAGATAATTCACCATCAGCAAATATTGCTTGGGTGATAAACGAAGGGCAGAAACATTTACAAGAAAATCAGTCTTCGAATAGATTCTCCTTGGTGCCAAAAACCCTAGAGCCAAAAACACACACTTAGCTGCGGCAGAGAAAAGATAATGACCCTTGAGTCTCATTACACTGATGGCGATGCTAAATTGTGTTTTTCCTCGTATGAAGACAAATCTCTTCTACAAGAGATGAAGCCATATGGCAAATTGCCTCGGACACTGGCAGGGAAAACATGCTTATTTTGAGCCCACTCTGGGGTTAATTACTCGTCGGGAATAATCAATACTGATTTCCCCAAGACACGCACCTTTCCGAGTGATTGTATTCCCTTCAAGAGTGTTAGGTACACAATTACCCATGCTGCTAGCAGAGTTAAGACCAGATATGGCTGAACCGAGCCGAACTCATCTAATCCTGAGGATTTTCCAAGGACGTGGCGGCTGCAAAAAAAAAAAACGGAAATAAACACAAGGTCAACATTCGAATTTGGAAGGTCAATGCTCTGGAAAAATCAATATCCCCATTAAACGGTACATCAACAATTGACTGGCAGGGTTCATGTACATGTACGTGTTTTGGATGTCGTGTTGATACTTGAAAGACAGTTACTTTGTTTTTGTTATCTTTTTTCAAGGCTGAATTTACATGTTATATAAAATAATGAATATACATGTATTTCATTATTTAAGGACATACAGTCCTTATATTCCTTAAACACATTTAGACACGCACATAAAATATATGCAAAATGTATGAACACACACGTGCAATGCATTCTTTGAGATACTGAGAAGGGTGGGTACAAAGGCTTACTTGTAATACTCCTCGCTGGGTGTGGTTATGAGGCTGTGATGTATTGCAGTAGTGTTCTCTATAACCGTGAAATTCACTAAGGTCGAGTTCAGAGTGCTGTTTCCTATAAAACAGTGCAATGAAATATATTTATCGAATATTCTTGTAATAATTAACTTAAGTTTTAATTTATCTTTTGCTTTTTGCGATTTATATCAAGTCTTGAGGAACAGATGAATTACTCTAACTTAGTTTAATATTTTATATTCATAGTCTTTAATGTTTATCGTTAATGTATATCAAAAAATTAGCACGGTAAAAAATATGACGTACACAATGGTCACTGACCCCCTTAAATCTCTTCCGGTAAAACTTCTCGGATTTTCTTTATACGATAAATCGTGTCTAAATATTCGTATATTTAACCTTTACAATCCGATTTTTGATTTTCTAAAGAATAAAGCATGACTCTTTCAACTGTGACTTTTAAATCAATATTCAATATTCTATAATAGTTATATAATGATTATTTCATTATATTTAACCCCCTTTAGAGCCCCCCTGATGCGCATGGACATGCTTAACGAAGGCTTAATTGAAAACACATCCCGGACATGCAAAGAATGCCAGGCGTCCAGGAAAAAGTGCGCCAAAATGATCTTTGACCACCTGCGGTAGTGTTCTGACCTGATCTAGATTTCTGCCGCTAACAAATAGCACGGATAAGAATAGCAATGTTCAGTTTGAAAGAATCACGTAAAAGTTGATATATTAATATACTTTAATCCACATGCTTATGTCTAAAAGTTAAACATAAATCTATCTGAACTTTGGCCGCTGAGAAGAATCTTGTACAAAATGTTGCCGTGGTAATATGCTTAAGTTTACATAGATGATTCACCACAGGAATTTTATTTCAGAAAAAACACATTATTCACAGCACTGAGTAAAATTGGCTGCTGCGTGTTTTTAAGTTTGAAAAAAATCAATACGCATTGTTTCTGAAAAGTGAGTTCTGCATCTGAACTAGATGACTAAGAAGATAGCAATTTGCTCTACAGATATAATCATATTTATTTTAATCTTAGAATGTGAAACATGCATCACAGAAAACACACCTGAGATTTTGCTGGTATATTTGTGTTGTGAGAGAAATATGAGTAATAATTTAATTTAATTCTATTGCAAGAAACATTTTAAAAATTGGCTTTTTTAATACCTATCGTTTGCTGGTTGCTATAATCGTATTCTCTGCAGAAGGGAGTGTTCCACTCGTTATTGCATGTAGTCCAGGGGAGTTCCGAAGTGAACGAAGCGACCAAATAGTACAGCACGTGGGATATAATAACATTGTAGTAAAGTCCTATCAACCAAGAAACGATGACCATGGCGTATCCAACACCTGTCAGAAATAAAGATTGTTTTGTAATAAAAAATAATAATTTAAAGATTTTTTAAAAAATAAATAATAATTTACAATCTTTGATGTATAACACTTGAGATCAGAACTTAGTGATGTTGATTGTGACATCACTGAGAAAAGAATGGTGATGCATGCATGCCCTGAATTTACCTTTAAACAAAGGATTTATTCTCCATACAGAGATAGGTCCCAAACTGGCATACTGGCCAATGGCGACTTCAAGATAAAACAGGGGCAATCCCACCAAAGCCAGCATAATAGTGTAAGGGATAAGAAATGCACCTGAAAAACATTGTTTACAAACATTGAATGGAATTCTCCACGTGTAAGAATGAACTTTAAAGGTGTGGGGTTATCAAGTTGATGTATGCAAATTAATTGCAAACACTCTATCTTTGCTCTAGGTAACGGCTTTTACTAACGAACTTAACAATAATACACGAGTCATTGGTTCTTTTAAGTGTATTTAAATTTTATTTTGAATAGACATAACAAAAATAAGGGACATCTACCTCCGCCATTCCTGTAACAGAGATATGGAAACCGCCAAACATTTCCCAAGCCAACGGCATAACCAACACACGTCAGGAGGAATTCTAATTTCCCGCCCCACTGCGCTCGGTCATCTCCGGTGCTCTCGCTACTTTCGGTACTCCTCTGACTCAAATCGTCACCATCAGCAATCTCTTTCTGTATTGGACAAAAAATTTTAATAATAAAGATAAATGTAGTTAAGGGTCTAGCCGGTCTTCACTGATTAATAAAGAAATAAATTGCTTTCAAACATATTGTTCAGAAATGTTCGAAATACATGTAATTCGTTGTTTTTTCAAAGGCCTAAATTTTAGGGATTCTAATAATTGAACTTATTTGGAAAGACAGTTGCTATGTCATCAATGACGTCATGGGTACTTTATGATTACCACTCGATGAAGCCTGATATCCTCACAATGTCCCGACATTTCTAAACAAAAGTCATCATGGTCAACGAAAGAACAAATTCACATGTTCTGTGGTCCAGACTCAGCAGTTTGAACAATTTTTTTTTATCCTAGCTCGTACCAGTCGATCTAAGGAGCACAGACAGTGATAATCTACTTGCATCACCCAGAGAATATTGATTTGCGTATTTTTATTTGGAAAACATGCAAAATCGATTTTCCAGATCAAGTCGGCATTAGAAAGGATGTGCGTCACAAAGTTCACAAGCGCTTTCAGTACACATAATTCCTTGAAAAAACTTGATGAGACCAGAAGAAACTAGCCTTTTCTGGCTTTGCTTCCGTCTGAATGAATAATTATCTCCCTTGGGGAATTTGCACTTAATAATACGGTAATAAAAGTATTTTTAAAAAGTGTGTTTTGTCTTTTTTGCTTAATAAGATTTACTACCAAAAAAAAAGAACAATGAACCAATTTCAAATTGTTGGACTTGGGCACACGAGAATATTATCCGGTTCTCTTTTAACATGTTCATTGCTTTGCAGTTAGAATGAACATCGTCCCACGTTAAAGCAACTTGTGGGCGATATGACTTTCCGCATCCATTTATTTGACTGACATTTAAAGAACAATATAGAATTGAATAAAAAACATTGATTTTACTTTATCCTTTGCCAAAAGCATCGCAAAAGCATTTCGATCATTTGAAGTATCTAGCAAAAGCGCTCCCGTTTTCCTTTCAAGAATTTGATGCTATTTTTAGCTCTCTGACGCACGGAGGCAGACGTACGTGTATCGATTCTGTTCTTTATCATACACTGTCTTGATAATTGTATCAAAACATAAATATCGATTTCCTAATTCCGTAATTCAGGTTAGGTGTATACGTACATAAACAAATACAAAAGTATACATTATCCACGTGTATTTAATAAATGATTGGGCCATGTTTATTTTAAATTTGTTTAGTAAATTTTAAGTCAATCTGTTTGCTTAATTGATAGCATCTTTAACAATTTTCGGATAAAGGGATTATAAACCAAATCTTATCCATGGCGCATAATCAATTCCCTTTGTTATTTAGATTTACAGCTTTCACATGTGCTTCCGAGAATTCGTAAATCCCCCATTTCAACAGGAAGAAAATGCGCGCGGAGATAAATAATCCGTCGTATCCCCTTTCATGTGCCCCATAGGTTTGGGCGCAAAAAGCAAAGCCATGTTTTTATTAAAGAAGGATATGAGGCCTTTTAAAATAAAGGATTGCCTTTTGAATTACATTCTTTCTCATTGATAAGATATATAGAATATTTGCTTCGAATAAACATTTAAACATATATATGTTTACATTGCTTGCGTCACCCACGTGGGTTTCATAGCAGCTAAACTAGACAAAAGTAAAAGCGCGTACTCTCTATACATATACTTATAAATTAAAATAAAATGGTGACTATTCAAATAATGAGAAAAGTTGTTTTTTAAAACTAAAATTACAAAAAATATGAGATGAGGAAACCCGCCAAAGACAAATTTCCTCGTTTGGGTGTAATTTTTTTTTTATTTTAATTGTTTCTTGATAGAAAGGAAAGTAAGAAAACAGAGAAAAATATCCTTTTTTACTCACCACAGCAACGACTTGAACTTCGTCTTCAAACATAAATTCCGATTCCGATCCATCTGGCGATGTTATGCTGCATGACGGAGCAACCGCTCCTTGGTCAGCAGTGGGATCAATTAAATCTCTCATTTCCTGATTTTTTACGTCTTTAGTTATATTGTTTGTTAATAAAATTAATTTGTTAATTTAAAATTCCTCTGTGAAATATGAAGGTAAAGATATTATTTTTATAATTCAGAAAGAATTTAGGTTTTAACGTGTTCCTTCCTCCACGATTCACACACTCTATGTTTGTAAATAATGGGAATAGTACTATATTAAACCAAATAACCCTTGACCTTAAATCTGATTGGCTGTTAGGATTTACGTCATGATTCATTGATAATTTCTTCATGAAAAATTTCCACTAGTATTGACATTTTGAAATCCATTGTACAGTATATTTCTACTGCAATGAATACAAGTTAAATGTTTTGTATTCATTAGAAAGAAAACGCCACTCCCAAAGTATTGTTATGCACAATTATGCAAAATATAGATACAGATACCACAAAATCTCTTTTATTGCTGGGCAATATCTGTTATACATCTGGCAAAATGGCTTCACCTGCACATGTTGCAACCAAAAAAGCTCAACAGACTCTTGATATATATATTTGAATATGGAACTATCTCGTACATAAATTAACTTGAATAGCCTGTTATTTATTAAAAGAGAATAATATTGTCATTTTAAAATTTGAAAATAAGACTTTTTAAATCAAATTTGTTAATACTGGTAACATATATACTAGTATACCAGATCAGAAAATCCTGTAGTGAATATTATAATATATACTATATGTTTTATAATTAAGGAACAGTTTTATAATATTATTGATATAACTTAATTAACTTTAAAAAAGGTGGGACCTTTTCTCATTTATTATTATTTAACAGTTTGTTGTGTAATTTGAAAGACGTCGTACTTTGGGATTGCAACGCAGGAAGATACATAATTATAATATAATTAATATGTATGTTTCTTGATTCTGTTCTGTTCTACATCACAGTTGCTTGTTGACATTCTCCTCCCCTGTCATTCACATTCCACTTCCAATGAATTTTGTGTATGCTTTTATTTAAATTATCATTTGTTATATCGCGCATATATATACATATTTTTTATTGTAAAATGTTTAGTTGATGTTAAAATTTTTATTAATATTACATGTATCTATTTTATAATTTCTTATTTATTCATATTTTTGGATTTTTTGGTATGTAACATCAAACTGTTGTGAACAAAAACAATTTTAAATGCAATAAAAAACGAAAATCATTCAGGAGTGGAATGTGAATAAATGTGAATGTGAATAAACGGGGGGGAGGGGGGGGGGGGCTCTCCGCAAGAGCACATCTTTTCTACATATTGTACTTTACTGTTTTTACAGGAAGTTCATTTTAAATAAATGGACATTGTCATTCTTAAATGACAACGTATCTTATTCTTCTTGCCCAACATCTTATATTGTGTTTGTTTATGTTAGGCGACTATAGGTCACCCTCTAGAGACATTTGAAAAGATTACCAACTATACAGTCGATACAAACGTTACAAGTTTACTGTGATAGGAAATTTATTTATTTTTTCACACTTTTAATAGTTATCGTGTCGCAAACTTTACTTATGTAGTTAATTTTTAATAGAATTACAACACAATTTTAATTCAATTTTTCAAATAAATGATAAAGATCTATTTTATTTATTGAAAGTTTGTTTCTCGTTTAATTAGAAAATATTTTTTTTTATTAAATTAGTAGAGGTTTTATATTTAAAGATATATTTAAAAATATAAATCATAATACATATCTTTTAAGAAAACAAGAGTTGTCTCCATTTATTTTAGTACGTGAAACGTTTTGGAACTTAATTTAAACAATACATCAATTGTCTTTTATGTTATTGACCCCCCAAAATAGAATATAAAGGAACTTGAACCTATGAGTGGTTCGTTACGTGGCGCGTGTAAAGATGTTATGAACAATTCCCTTTTCGTCACGTGTAGTTTCTTTCATTTTACTGTGAGCCAGTACAAGGAGCATTTCTGAGGTGATAAAGGGGTACCTGTAAAGTGCGAAACGAAATAGAAACGAAACGAAACGAAACGAACTGAAACGAAACGAAATCTGCCGAAACGAAACGAAATCTACCAAAACGAAACGAAACCTACCGAAACCAAGACGAAAGGAAACGAAATCAAAACGAAACCAGTTGAAACGAAACGAAACAAAACTTTCAGTTTTTTTTTTCAAATCAAAGTATATACATGTACATATAGTAATACATAATGTGTAACTGCATATGATCTATTTTCATTCCATAAGAAATTTATATAGTTCAAGCACCACAGGCAATTGTTTCGCTTCAAGCTCATACATAGGCGTCAGAAGGAAAATGAAAGTTGGGTGGGGTGGGGGAGGGAGGGGCTTAACTAACAAAAAAAGTTAACTCCAATTTTTGATGCCTATATAATACATATCTTTGCAAAATTGTGCGGGGGGCTTAACCCCCCCCCCCCCGCTTCCGACGCCTATGCCATATTTTGTTAACATATCATTGAGTAATATATCTACTTAAAAATGACATCGTTCGCTTCGAGAGACTTTTTTCTTGTCAGTTAAATCGTTTTAGACATCTTTGGTCGAGCCTCTTTATTGCAAACCACTGAAAAAAATAGGACAGTATGCTTGTATGCACATGTATAGCTCTAAAAAAGCACAAGATTCCGGTTGGAGCTACATGTGTAATTGAACGATAAAACCAGACACCTCGGAATGGAATACTAAATACTCGGAAGTTTGATAGTTTTGAATGATTGATTGTATATTGTTTAACGTCCCTCTCGAGATTTTTTCACTCATATTGAGACGCCACCATTTACCGGTGGAGAGCTGCAAATTTTGTCCTATACTCGGCACTCAGGGCCATTGAGCAGGGAGGGATCTTTCTCGTGCCAGCACCTACTGCGACACGGGACCTCGGTTTATACGGTCTCATCCGAAGGACCGGTCTCCACGTCCCACAGTGGGATTCGAACCCGCGACGCAAGGATTGACTCCTTACTTCGCGACTCTAGAGCAGACGCTCTAACCACTGCGCCACGCAGGCGACGGAAGTTTGATAGTTATGTTGTATCTAGATAAATAAGGCTGAAAATAAGAGTAAGACATAAAAATTAGAAAATACTGTACATATTAAAATTATGCATGCATTATACGTTCGTGCATATTTCCAGCTGACAAACATGTAAATACAGCATTAGTCTGAGAAGGAAGCATAATTTATCGGTAATTAAATTTTATATTGAAAGTGCTATATAAATTTTATTTGAAGTCCATATGCAGTTACATATATATAATTATATACATGTACCTTGATTTGAGAAAAAAAAAAACAGTTTGATAGTTTTGTTTTATGGACTTTAAATTTGAGATCGAATAATGCTCGTTATATCCATATCCTTCTTCGTTTCCTTTCGACAGGGTTCGTTTTGAATGAAAATAGATCATATGCAGTTACACATTATATAACTATATGTACATGTATATACTTTGATTTGAAAAAAAAAAACATTTTGAAAGTTTTGTTTCGTTTCGTTTCGGCTGGTTGCGTTTTGATTTCGTTTCGTTTCGGTAGGTTTCGTTTCGTTTCGGTAGATTTCGTTTCGTTTCGGCAGATTTCGTTTCGTTTCAGTTCGTTTCGTTTCGTTTCGTTTCTTTTTCGTTTCGCACTTTACAGGTACCCGTGATAAAGTTGGGTAAAGTCAGCCACTTGAATAATTCAATGGGTGTTAGCCTAAAAAAAGTTAGTAAGAAAGTGCCATGGGGAAATACTTTCCCCATGCAGTAAATTTCAACTTCAATGCTGAATTTTCAAATTCTATTAAAAATAAAGATATTAATACAAAACGTTGACAATTTCAGAATTTTTGAACGAATTAAAAAAAAAACATAATTATTTCGTTTCCTGGAAGTTTTACAAAAAAAGTTTAATTCGGGTTATTTTTAGCAAGTCGGTTGCGATAGAACAAGCAATTTTTGGATTTATTTTTATTATTGAAATTAATATTTAAAAGATGACCAGAACAAAATTTTATACCGTCAGCACTCAATTTTAATTTTAAACCAAAATGAACACCGATGTATACAGAATAATTCTGTTGATCTCCCAGATCGATGTTAGAAACTGCCAAATGTTGCATGTATAAACTTTAAAATGTATATGCCCAACTCAGCCCAAGGCAATACATATTCAGGCCTGTTTATACGGGTTATATAGCAACGATTAATAAATTAAGGAGATCTAAAAGAAATCAGACAATTAAGTATACCCCCCCCCCCAAAAAAAAAAAAAAAAATATATATATATATATATATATATATATATATATATATATATATATATATATATATATATATATATATATATATATACCCATTTTCAAAGGTGAGTTATTTCCCCTGAAGGGAACTCTTTTACTGTGTTTAATACGCATGCGCTATAAATAAAGTCACTTCCGCGGACGTTCTTGATGTAAACATGTTCATGGTGTATGCCTCTGTCATATGGAAAAATGTTTTTGTGTTTGTGAATAAAAAGAAATCTTAACTGATTCGTATTTTTTTTAAATTGCCCACTCATAGTCTCTTTCTGGATTTGTATTAATCTGTGTAGTACTATAATAAGGTGCTGTGTGACCCCCCCCCCCCCCCTTTACAAAAAAAAGAAACAAATTACTATTAAAATGCTGATACATATTCGAATAGGCCTATTAAAAAAAAACACAAACAAAAAAGCTAATTTTCGGTAGTGGATGTTCTGCAGACGGATCATCATTATTTACAAAATGTGCGGAACAAATTTTTAGTTATAAAGTTTTTACGAATTAATCTAGCCTGCTGCAGCCATATTTTCATTGTATCTCTAGGAATTTTTTGAAGACTGATGACATGTCCATCTACAGTTTTACCTCTGAAATTGCTGCATATACAGCAGTAGTTCGTCTTCCGCTACCGATACCAAGAAACTGCGTTTTTGCTCGATTGTATGTCATAACATAGAACTTTTACTTACAAGAACACATTTGGTGACAATTAAAGGCCTATTTCATTTGAATTAACCGTGTTTCTAGAATTTTCTATTTGTAAAATAATTGATTCACAATTTAGTATTAAAACTTTGAATGGAATTCTAAATGAATAATTTAATCTCATGTGCTCATGTAACGAAGAAAGACTAATTAAAATAGCATCGACCTGAATTCGTGTTACATATGTCGTATAAAGTCTGAGCTGCATTTAATCAAAGTTTTAGTGTAGGATCTAAGCATATGTACATGTATATTCCCGAGTAAAATACACATTTTGTTTTAGATCAGAGAATTGAGAGCAGAAACACGAAATTGATCAATACAATAATTTCCTAGCGTATTTCTCGTTAATTAACTGAAAACAATCTTTTCTCAAGTGTTATTTATTTTTTTTTAAATCCTTTCAGTGTAAGTACATGTATTTATTTTTATAAGTTATTCTTTTTTTGCAAAGTGTGTAAATAAACAATATCAGAGAGAGAGAGAGAGAGAGAGAGAGAGAGAGAGAGAGAGAGAGAGAGAGAGAGAGAGAGAGAGACTCCGGGTAACTGACATACATGTACATCTGTGAAAAAATATATGTACCGTAATTTTATTGAATTCACAATTAAAGCCATATATGGCGTAACTGATCAAAAAAATATATATTTTGAAAAATACAAAATTAAGTAAAGAAATATAGTTAATACATTTAAATTAAAGCTTTTCATACAATTCTGAACACGGAAAACACCTAATAATACGATTTTATCTTCTCTGTAATGTGTTATTTAAATCTCTTGTATTTTCTTCCGAGTCGGAGAAAATTCCAAATATCCAAATTAAATTGTGATATCTTTATAACGCAATTGACTTACATTTTGTAATTTACGGAAAAGTTCTATCTTTATATAAAGTAATGATACAAATAATAAGTTCTTATAATTTTAGTTTAATAACTTTCATTGTACATACGCCATATATGGCTTTAAAAATTCTAATAATAATATTAATTTTCACAACTTTGGTTCATTTTCAACTGTTCAACCCATTTACATATTCTCTGTACCTGTACGCACGGAGGGGGGGGGGTGAAGGGTCAAGGGGTTTAGCCCAACCCCCACTTTTTTCCCAATATTACTTTTTCTATTGAAAATGTTCATTGATAGACAGGTTGTCAATCCCCCACCCCCCACCCCCCCACACACACTCAGTTTATACTACGGTAAAGTTATATAAGGGAAATGTAGTATTGTATGCCAAGGAACTGGTACTGAAATAAGTATTAGCTTTTTCAACTTTGGGCAAGGTTTTTCTTTGCTTGCCAACTTTTCCAGGTAAGAAAAACCACAGGAGTCTGAAGTTTTAATCGTCAAAAAAAAAAAAAAAAAAAAAAATCCGGAAAGAAATTTTCCTACCCTTAACTAAAAAACCCCCAGGATGGCAACGTGTTTTTGGGGGACCCACCTAAACAAATAGATCTGGGCTTGGCCAGAAAAATCTCGCGACTAATTCAGTTTCCGGAGCGTTTTTGTTATTTATTTAATGTGAAAAATTCAATCTGCTTGACGACTACGGGCCGTTCCTAGCCCTTTTTCCACTTTGACAGCTCATCCTGGACTCCATGCCACTAAACCGGAAGAGAATCTCGCAGTGTATATTTGACGTTTATAAAAACTTGTTCAAATGAAATAAAATAAATAATTGTTCAACGTAATTTTATTCAGTTATTTTAGATATATTTAACAGAACTTTAAAAAGTTATTTATTCTTTTTCTTACTTGTACGACGATGTGTACCAGGGACAGATAATTCAGTTTTTACAAGCGCCAAATTTAAATCACTGAAAAGCCATGTCGACAATGAGCCAAATAGTTAGACTAAGCGCCATTATAAAGCATTATTTTGTTTGAAAAATATATCTTTTTATTGATCACGTAGGGTAACATAAAATTGTACATGAAGTTTTACATGCATTTTTTTGGTTCTTTTCTTCAATTACGTCATATATTCACATCGGAGTTCACTTCCGGTTTAGTGGCATGGAGTCCAGGATGAGCTGTCAAACTGGAAAAAAGGCCATGAACAGCCCGTAGTCTTCAAGCAGATTTGATTTCTTAACTTGAATAAATAGCACAAACACTCCGGATACTGAATTAGTTGCGAGATTTTTCCGACCAAGCCCAGATCTATTTGTTTAGGTGGGTCCCCCCAAAACACGTTGCCATCCTGGGGTTTTTTTAGTTAAGGGTAGGAAAATTTTTTTCCGGATTTTTTTTTTTTTTTTTTTTGACGATTAAAACTTCAGACTCCTGTGGAAAAACATATTTCTTTGGCTACCCCCCCCCCCTTTTAAAGACGATGCTACGTGCCTGGCTAATTCGTATAGCTTTCTAGAAAGGGGGGGGCTAACAGACCCTTTATAAAATAATTTATTATCTAAAAAAATGCAAACCGTTTCCTTCTTTTAAAATTTTTAAATACAGCGTGTAAGTTGATCACTATTTTGTTGGATTATCGTAACATGTATCCGCGGAAGTTATGCTAGTGTTGAAGAGTTCCGATTTTGAGGGGAGATAACTCACTTTTGAAAATGGGGATAAAAGACTATACTCAGAAAAAAGCTACGGGCCAAAATTATGTGGAGTCTGTCAGTCACTGGCAGTGGAGTCGATCAGAAGCCTTCTTTGACGTAGGAAGATGACTTTTAACTTTCAACTCCCCCGAAAAAGATGTGTTTTGTCTTCCGCAGAATGATTCTATCTAATGGATATTTTTGTTACTGACATTTTCCTAAGAGATACCCCCCCCCCATAACTGAGCAACAATGCAATTATCTTATTACATGTAAGAATTAGTAACTTTGCTTTGTAAATTGAATAGGGTTAAAATTTTCCAGTTTTTCAAGGATCTGATGGAAAAATATTTTATCAAAAAAAAATCTACCAAAACAAGTTGAGTATCAAGAACCCGCTTTTGCATAATAATAAAAATGCAAATAATACAGAATATTTACATAATCATAGAATGAATATGAGTATCACATCATTGATGTAATCTACACAAATTACTAGCTTGAAACAGGTCCCGTAGGAAGCAATATAATAGCCAAACCAACGGGGTTCCTAAGGCCAAGTTGAATACGGAAATCAAACGTTTTTATTCAACTTTTGTTCACAACCTTGCGCATGCGTATTTGAAAGAGGCGCGAAAGCGGAAATGTATATAAATTTGTAAACAAATAGTGTGGTATGTACATTATCCCTTTATTTTACAATTTATAATAAAAATGCTTCATTATATACTCTCTGTCATTTTTACTTTATATTTTCCTTTAGGGCTATGAGGGTAAAAGATGTAACATGAAAATAGACGAACTTTATCGTGTTCTTTAAAAAAATATTTTCTTTTTGTGATGATACATATATGATATGACTTGTTTTTAGGTATGTGTCATCTGTAATGTAATAAAGTTCTCTTTTGTAAATTATAAAACCGTTTTTAGGTAAGTTTTACTTCTTCTTGATTTGACTAAGTTGTGAAAAAATGCAGGTTCAAATCTGAAAGAGCAAGAGATCATCATGGACCTATGTACTAGTATATAGGTCCCTGAGATCATTTACAACCAGACAACATCATGTTAACCAGGAATCTTAACTATTGTTTATTTCAGCTGTCATGCGGAGGTCCTCATCTCTGGGACGGTCGTCCACGTCCCACTACAGCAGTGCTAGCAAGCGGACCTCCTCAGCCTCCAGGTCATCAGTAGGGGGTACGGGTCGCCCCTCTGTGGGAGGGACCATGCCACTGAGGGTGAGGAATGAGGAGAACTCAAAGATCACAACCTCCTCTAAGAAAACTAAGCTGACTGGGTACAGATATAGTGCAGGTTCTGCTGGAAGTCATGGTGACCGCCCAACTAAGACCCCTAACAAAGGGTATCGATTAATTCTTAATCTCAAAACTACTGTCATAACTGATATACAATATTTTTAGTGAAATTGAGTTTGATACCTTGACTTTGGAATTAAATTCTCAGATGATATCATCATATATATGTTGATTATGCTTTTGTTAATTAAATGTGTTGGAAGGGAAACCTAATATACTTTTAAAAATTCAAATTCATTGTAAGAATTTTGCCTGAACTTTAATCTTCTTTTAGGATGCGTAGAAGTAGTCACATGGGAGTCCCAATGGTGAATGGAATACCAAAAGATCCTAGAAAAATTTCTGACAGAAACTTTCAAGCCAAATGTGTTGCAAGGCTAGTAGAGGTAAAGTCATGTATTAAACATAAATACTCAAGCAAAGCTACATCAGTTCCAGTTTGCAATGTTATTAAAAGAGAGACATTTATATAAAATTGGTTGGAACAATGGGTATCCTATTAATAGTAAATATTGATAGATTTCTTATATATGCATGAAATGGCATGTTTATTGATATCAAAAGCAGCAAATAGTTATAGCAATTTAATTATTTCAGTTTTTATCAGAAAAAGGATACCCTCACAAATTATCCCCAGAGATTCTCAAAGCTCCTCCAAGAAAAGATTTCTTTCAGATATTTGAGGTATTTATTTTCTTTTGGTGTCACTACTGTTATGTTTATAAATTTTATTACTGTAATATGTAAAGATATTACATTACATTCTTATTTTATGACCCTTTTAAGTTTTAATTTAGTAGCATTATTCTTAGTTAGGGAGAAATATAATCCAAAACTGTAACCTAGTTGAGAATGTATTTTATCTGTACATTACATTTTCACAGACAGCTTGCCGTCCATTTGAAATCTACATGTATCTACACAACTTTTCAGATTTATTTTAGTGTCTATTATATATTAGGGGTGGGACGATATACCGATACACCAATACATATCGATATTTTCCTTTAAGATACGGTTTACGATACAAGCATTCAAATATCGATACGAAACGATACACGAACGACCTATCCAAAAATTGAAAATGAAAATACCTGTCGTTGGAAAAAATGGCGGCTTGTACGAAGCGAAGAGATGATGATGATATTGAAAACACGCTGTAGAACTAATAAGTCGTTGATTAAGGGTAAAACGTACGTTTTCACTTTTAAGCAGCCTCAGAAGATTGGACAAGAAAAGTTCAGTATGTAAAGCATCATATACATAGAAAGTATCGTTTCCAGAACATTTGTTAGTCCATCTCGTGCTTTTTTGTAATCTCAACTAGGCTACAGACTTTCAGCAATTGATTATAATGTAAATGTGCTGTTTTTTTTATATGAAATTTTAGTCAGTGTTCTTTGATGAACTACACAACTGTTTGTAAACAACTTCTTTACAGAAATTTAGTAACAATAATATGTACATGTATTATTGTTTTTGTAAAGTTTTAGTCTATGAAATTGATGAACTTCAAGTAATAATTTCAAAGCACACATGATTTTATATAGTCTAAGAATAATTTGTTGATTTAATGTCAAGACAAAAAATAATGAAATAAAATACTAATTCTTTTGCATAGTTTTGTAATTTATCATGTAACAGTTGATTAATGTCAAGACAGAAAATGAAATAAAATAATATTTTAAAATAGTTTTATAGTTTATCATAATATCGAGATACGTATCGTATCGCAAGATCTGTGTATCATCCCACCCCTATTATATATGTAACCTTATATTTGTGTCAGTTATGGTGAATGAGAAAATAAACATGGTTTTCAACCAGTTGTAAGACGGCATATAAAATTATCAATTGCAGATAGATGCCTTAATAACACAAATCCCGAATTCATAATAATAATCATATTCATTTTATTAAATATAAGTCATATTTGAAGTTCAACTACATGTAATAACATCTTTATAATTCAGTTCCTCTACAGTATGTTAACTCCAAGATACAGGATAGGGAAAAAACCAGAGGAAGAAATTCCCAAAATCTTCAAGGAACTGGGCTATCCTTTTATGATCTCCAAGACGGCCATGTTTGCTCTGGGTTCACCTCACACCTGGCCCACAATTCTCGCAGCCCTCGTGTGGATGGTGGACTTAATTAAGGTATCACCGTTATTTTCCTCCTAAAATTAATGTATATAATTACACAAAGATTTTGAGGAAGAAAAAATATAATTCAGTTTAAAAATTTGAATCTGAAACCATATATTGAACAATATTAGACTGATCAGGCACCAGGCCCATTACACTTAGACAAGGTCACTTTTGATCTCAGTCTCACTTTTACAATAGAAATATATAGTGGAAAAGTGAGACTAATATCAAAAGTGAGTTATGTGTCCCCAGAGCCTGATCTATACCGTATATTTATAATATTATTTTGATCTGATCTATGAAAAAAACTATTCATTATTGAAAAGAGAAACAATAAATGAGGAATTTGGTCCAAAATTCAACTAAAGATTGATATTTGTAATTATTTTGATTTTTTTTTCCAGTTTGGTATGCAGGTTGGAATGTCCATTGACCATTACCTCTTTCCACCAAATGAAGATGAGTTTGATTCCCTACCAGAATCACAGGTTTAATCACATAGATTTTACCCTCTACATTTTACTTGTACATGCATATCCTTCATTTTTGCATTCATAATGCATCTTATAAAATCAAAAAAAAAAAATATTTTTTTTATGTTAATTTATCTTTTTGGGATTTAAAAAAAAATTCTTTATCTGCATATTATAATTTAAAAAATCCATCTTGAAGATAAAGTGTAAAAATGAGAAAACTGTATTCAGAAATTTAAAACTATTTTGCAACTGTGAACATGATATATTTCAATAACATGTGTAAAGTTGTGCATTGTGAAAAATATTTTCATAGATTGAACTCTTTTGTCTCTAGATTTTGTTTGATTATGTTGAGAAAACATATGCTGCTTATATGGAGGGATACGATACCTTTGAAGATTATGATGAACATCTTTCTAATCATCTAAGTAAGAAATCATGGTATTTTGTTACTGTATAGCGGGTTTTTTAGCGGGGTGTTAATTTTGGCGTTTTGATGGCAGCCCACTAACATTTGAAACGCAAAAATATTCATTACTCTTCTAAGTGTTCATTTACAAAGAGCTGAAATCCTGTGTCCGCTAAAATAAATTACGCAAAAATTATTGGTATACCTTAAAGCATGCAAAATGCCAAATTTTACACCCGCCAAGAAAACCCGCTATACGGTATTTTATATAACAATATTTTCCCAGACCCCCTCCCTCCTCCCCATTACCCACACACAGAAGTGTAATTTTTCCACTTATAGTGTCTGACAGTCAGTCAAAACTCAGTTACAAAATCAGTCATGATGTTATCAGTCAGTGCTCTGTAATATGATCATAGATACTTCAGCTGTTTAGCTCATCTGAGGCAAAGGCTAAAATGAGCCATTATGTTAAAAGTTTATTTGTTGTCGGCCCCTCTGTTTGTCTTAAGTTCTTAACTTTAATATTTTGAACTCTTTTTCCAAGACAAATGAAAGGCAATCGCACATCTCCAGGGTAAATCAAAGTCAGGTACCTGGAGTTTACAGAATACATATTAAAACTAACATTGTGTGTAACTATAATATTAAGTTTGTTTTGTTTTTTTTTTTTTTTTGCAGATCAAAAACTTTATGGCATAAGTGGTGGCCTAGAAAACTTAGATGACGAGAATAGGAGATTGGAAAAAGAGTTAGAAAGTCTGGAACAGGAAATCCTAGAGTCTCAGGTATAGTTATGATTTACAGGACAGTATTGTATTCTGATGCAACTTGGTCGTTTATATAACTATTCATTATAAAACGATTTATATTGTAAAATATGTTTAAATTGTGCATTTATGTATGTTGCCTTTTAGGGGCCTTAATTGGTCAATAAAATCTTGTATTTTGTACTCTCTCAAATTATGATTAGATACAGAATATTAATTGCAGTGCAAAAATCTGCAATTGCAGGAAAAACTCAAGAGAATGCGAGAAGAGGAGGTCAATTCTAAAGAAAATGATGAGAAGATGGTCAAATACCTGAATGAACTGGACGATTACGTAGAGAGCCAGGAAAAGAACATACAGAGTTTGGATGAAGAGTTGGAAACTCTTGGTATTGACATCTCCTTCTTTTCCTGCATATTTTAGATATTTTTTCAGCTGTTAAGTACAATTTTCTGATGAAAATTTTTATTTAATAGTTGAATTTTACTCACTATTCTTTTGTTTAAAATGCGAGAAATACACAATGATAACTCTTTTTTGTAGTTGCAGATTTAAACAGTATCAAGGCCAAAAACCAAGAGAAGCAGTTGATCTTTGAGTCCCAGGAATTCAGCCCCGAAGACATTGAACGAATTAAGATCAACAGGAAGGACATGTTACGTCAGATTGACGACGCAGAGGCCCGAGTGGCCAACATTGACCAGGAGATCTGGTCTGAGGAGATGAAGGCATCCAAAATGCTAGAAATGGTCAGTTGCTGCATGATCTTAAACATGTCAGGGGCATAACTCAAACAAGTTATTTTCAAAAATAACTCAAATGAGTTATTTTACATTATTTCACACACACAATTTTTTTTTGAAAAATAACTTAAATAAGTTATTTTTATATCCTACTTGGACATTGATTTCTTGGAAATTTCGTGTATCCTGCCAATTTGCATTGCATTTTGGGATTCCATTATGTAATACTAGATGGAGTTCACCGACTCCAATGGAGAATTGGTGAGGTAGTGGAGATAAACAGCATATTACTCCTTATTTTGTGGTTTTATCCACATGGTGTATATGTCCAATTTTAATCATTAAATAAAAAAAATTCCCCACTTTTCCCAAGACTTTGAACACTTTTTCTGCATTGAGCAAGGTTTATATTTAGTCAAACATTTGTCACTCATTTGAGTTATTTTTTAAAATAACTTGTTTAAGTTATGCCCCTGACATGTTAAATAAGGTCACAGTATGGTATAATTATTTTTGTGGAATTTGGGGAGATTAAATAATTTTTCAGCAGTTTATAAGTGAAAGAGCTTCCCTATGTCTGTAGGCTCTGAGAACTTTTAGATGATATGTTTAACTTTAAAAAGATGTAAATTTCTTCTTAAAGTCCGAATTTTATGTTGACTCCCCCCCCCCCCCCCCCCCCCCCCAAATCTATCTTATTCAAGATGAATACTTTATACCACTGTCAATCAAACTAAAAACAATAGGTACTGATTTGATTGACAGGCCAGCTACCTGATATTCAGAGATTTATTTACATATAAATTAATAAAGTAAAACATGCCTATATAGTCAGTGTTTGAAACAACCGTGCACCCAACGGATCGAGATGCACAAATTTTGATAGGGGGAACGCCCGGCTGGACGTGTAAAATATTTCCATAAACTTAACTTCAGATATTTGATAAAACTCTCTCAAATCAACTAATATATAAATGGTTGTAAAGTGTAACAAGCAAACGGGTAGAATTCATCAGCCTATGGGTCCGGGATTGAATATATAGTGTTCTGGCCCCATTCATATTATTTCTATTAAAAACGAACTTAACATAAAAGACAATTATTTTTTGGGGGCTAGTACATTTTAGGCAGGGCTGACAAGTTTCACTAGCAATCAACCCTGCATGTCTTGCTAATTTTCCAGTGAGTTTCAAACACTGATATAGAAGTGCTCAGGACAGATGATTTTGCTTCATTATAAGCATAATTTTTTGTATTAATCTTTTACATTTACAATAAATTTTAAAGTTGTAGCAGGAAATGAAAATCACTTCACTGTAAGAGTCAATACATTATAAGCATGTTCACTATAAGCATGTTTTACTGTACCTCGTTGTATACATAAAGGCTTTGAATGCTATAAACTGATCATCTGAAGCTAATATAGATGAGAGTGAATCAGGTGTTTGTTATTTTTGTAGGTGGAATCTTCTTGCAATGAGTACAATGATTTGGCCCAGCGGTTAAAGCTTCTGCCATCTACAGCACAATATGCTGGTGGTGTGGACTATGAGTTATCTCCCTCTTACAGTGCTAGGGATAAATTTACTGAAGTTGTCAAGGTACCACACTGAATTCTGGATTAGTCTTTGAAAATTTAGTAATATTTAAAAACTTGTATGTCTTTTTTCATGATTTATCCAAATTTGTTTCACTGTCAAGATTTAAGTAACATAGAAAATATGTATTTGAATTTATCCACATATTAGCAATAAGACATGAATATTTGACTTTCTAGCCTCATTCTGACAAAGTCTCAATTTAAACATTTTTTACTGTATTTTAGTTACAAAGATTTGTTTTATCCATATTTTGAAGAAACTTAAACTTTGATGTGAAGGTAGAGGTCATATAAAGTGAACCTTTCCTTTTGTGATAAACTGATAGAAGCCTCTATTTGTAGCCTGCTCTGCATTCCTTGAAAGAACAGTGGGCTGAAATGATGCATGAGAAATCAAAGGAGCTGATGGGGGAAAAGGATGTGTTTGATCAGGTAAAAGACAGCAATATTTTTTTAATTTGAAGGTTATGATTAACAGAACTCTGGCTTTGTGGCTCAAGCAATGTTTTACTCTGAAAATTACTATTGTTCTTTAAATCTTATGGATTTCATTGTAGACATAATGATATGGTTAGGTATTCAGTGCTTATTCATGCAGTTTTCTTCCTTTTGATGTTTAAAAAAGAGACATACTAATCTTAATCTGTCTGGCCACAAACTCAACCTTGGCCTTAAATCCAGAAATAATTTCATGTTTGGAGTTTTCAGATTTGCCTTTGTGATTGTCTAGTCTTACAAGAAGGTCAGACTGTATTCCTAAATATATATGTATGCTTAGACTTTTACTTTAGTAAAATAAGGGCAACCCAGTACTAACAGTACTTAGAGGACATAGGTCAAATGGGAATTTGCATATGCAACAAACATTATTGGAATTTATTTCCATAGAGTGCATGTGATTTTGTGGCTCTTTTAATCGTAAAATGACAGGAGTATGACTTTTATGTACAGGGTTCTCCACAAGGGGTTTTACCATGGCAGCCCGCCATGGTAAAATTTTTGTGCGCCATGGTTAAACGAGCTGCACCATGGTTAAAATCGGCAGCCGCCATGCTTAAATTTTATTGCATTTCAGTCCTGACACCTACTTTTTTAATGACTTGAGTAGTTGTGTTTATACTACGCCTGCCCTGCACCTCGCATGCCTCGAAGGAAAGCCGACTGTACTAAACAAACACGTTAATCATCGAGCTGACTATGCTGTGAAGCGTGACAATCAGTGGAGAGTCAATCAGCTGATCAGATGATTAATATTTTGAGAGTTTAGTATCCTGTACACATGTAAATAGTTTTGGGGAACGTCAACATTTTCACTACATGATTAGATATATAACGACTTGAGCGTTCATTTAAAAGATGACAATTACAAGCATGATAATCGGCATGCATGCTGTGTCAGAAAAAAAATACTCTGTAAAAATTTCATATTCCTCTGTAGTTAATCAATTTCCCATGCTCTGTTTTTAAGCTTTAACTTTACTATCTTTTTGATAAAATGTGCATAGGGCCTACGTCTCAATCGCCGTCTTAACAATCTTAGTTTTAATCGCCGGTATAGTCGTAGTTTTAGAGTTACTTTCCGTTGTTATGAAACATCGCGTGGCGCTATTTTTAGCACTGGGCACGTGGAAAAGTAAACTAAACTTGGTGGAAAATGCAATATCTAGAAAAATAAAACGTTTATATAGTGAAACAAAATATTTCATACAACAGGCTACAATTCTTATGATTATTAATTTCTCAAAAATATTGCCATGGTTACTGATTTACTGTATCAACAATTTTTCTTTAAATTCCTTCAGAAGGTTACATGTACTACAGTTTTGGGAAAATTTTAGTACATTTGTGAAGTAAGATACAGGATAAATCCTTTTCAATTTTTTTTTACTTTAAAAAGTGATAGTTATTCCATTGTTTTGTGTTGCAGTGGTTAATTTTAAAAATTGTAAAACCAATCATTGGTTAATGAAGAGTAGGAAGTCTAACACACATTTGGGTCACATTTCGCCTTCGCGCAGCTTCCTCCATGGTTAAATTTTCAAATGTGGAGAACCCTGATGTATATTAATACACATGTACTGTTTTTGTCTAAAGAACATATGATACAAACAAACTTCTTTTTTTTCAGAGAAAAATACATAGAACTAATCATGTTTATGTAACTATAAGTAAAATGAATTCACTGTACTGTGACCACACAGAAAAAAGTACATCTTCAGTACATTTAACCAGTCAACCTAAAAGATTTTAAGAGCCATTCTCTGTAATGATTTGAAATTTTATATAGGAGCTGTGGCACGCATAGTCTCAGAATTTCTCCAAACTCTCTATGATAAAGTCATTGATACCCTAAACTGAAATCAGTCAAAAATTGGTTGCTATGTTTTATAGTTACCATGGCAACATGTCTTAAAGTTCGAAAAATGGCATTTTTTAACATGTTTAGAGCCCCATAGTTAACATTTGCAGCAAAGCAAACAGTTGGCAATGACTGTTTCCAAAAGTTGAAGGTCAGATGTCTCAAATGCATGATAAACATGTTTTGTAAATCAACTATTACATACGTTACTATGGTAACAAAGTATTCAAAAGTAAAAAAAAATATTCATTGAATTTTATAAAGTCATACACGTAAAAATAAAAAGCAATTATAGGATGAAATGTGACCAAATAATAGAAAAAAGAGCCTTGAAACATATACCAAGAACAAAATATGATATTTCATTTTGGTTGGCAATGGTTGCCAAGGTTTTTATACCACAGAGAGCCTTCAAAGTAACTCTGTATGTTTAAATCTGATCCTATCTTTTAAAAAAAGCAGATTTCCTCATAACAATGATCAATTTTATAAGATGTTGGTGTGCTCCAAGTCTCTAAGTGGATGCAAGAAGTTGGCACACAGGGTTTAATATTGATATAAAGTTCACAAAATCGAACATTTCCCCTTCTTGGTAACCATAGCAACAGTGTTGTTTTATTCATCAAATTTTATCAATATATGATATTCAACTTCAGTTCTAACAGATAAGTACTATTCAAGCTGAGTCCTTTAATTTGTTTCTTGATTAAATGGCAATTTAATTCTTAATGCAGCGAAAAATAATTCACTTTTAAGCACTGGTACTTTGTTTCCATGGTAACACTGCAAAGTAGCAATTATACCCAATTTTTCTTATGGTTTTGGTGTTGCAAGGTTCTAAGGATGCATATTTGCCAGTCTTGAATTTTCATGTTTTTCATCAAGACAGTAGCATTAACCCAATCTTAGTTACTGGTTTTACATGGTTACACTGTGTTACCATGGCAACCATAAAAGTTATTTATAGAATAATAATGCTTATACTTATATACTTAAGGTCGAACATTTTCATTGTTTTTCTTAAGTCTTTGATTGAGTCTGAGCATGTAACACCTACCATTAGTGAATACGGAGTGTTTTTCAGCATATTTCAGCATTTTAAATGTATTCCAAATGTACCCTTGGTTACCACTTACTTAGAGATATATTCTAAACAGTTTCTTTACAGTATAAGTGACATCAAGGTGTCATGTTTTTGTGAGAATGGTTTGTTTGCTTTTTCTAGTTTTTATTAAGCCACAGTCAAGATTTAAAGTGGCTGAAAATCTCGATTTTTCAAACTCTTCCAGCTGTTGCCATAGCAACCGAGACACATAGCAACAAAATTTTGTTTGATATTTGTTTCTGGTGTCAAGTACTAAGCATGGGTGAAGTTTCATCAAAATCGGTGACCATGCGTGGCAACGAAGTTTAAGTGGTTACAGAAAATGGCTATTAATTTTTTATTCAATGTTTCACAATGCTGCCCTCAGGCCTGTTTAGTGATAAAAAGGTGCATAGATTTACTGTAGAAACTGCAGTAAGGGTAGTTTATAATGCATAAATTTTATTTGTAGTGTGTTGCTGATTGCTTGGATTTAGAAAATGAACAGAAATTAAAAGAGAGTCAATTAAAGCGATTAGAAGAGGACATTGAGTTTAAAAAGCAGGTCAGTCACAGAAATGTGTCTTTTCAGAATTTTGTATTTATTATTTTCCCTCAGTCTTTTGTACATATATTAATAGTTATTTGCTTCAAAAAATTAATCAGTTTGTATTAAAAAGCGGTTATGTTTTTAGAATTGTAAGATCTCTGCAGATTTTATTTATGCTGTATTAAAATTTTGGAATACTGTGAAAGTCTGAGCTAGAAATGTACTCTTAGGGATAAGATTATATGATCAGGAAGTACATGTATTGAAAACTATGGAAGTCTGAGATGACTGAATACTTTTAAAAGCCAAAACCTAGTGAAGAGAAAGAAAGGATATGTACCACAGATATATAAATCCAGATTCAGAGTTCTTAAAAATTATTTGTTTTACATGTCCAATTCTATGTAGGTACACCAAAAAGAGTTTCAAAAACTACAAGAAGAAAAGGAGAGTCTGGAAAAGGAAATATCTTCTATGAAATTCTCTTCCAATAAAACACTAGCTGATGGACAGAAAGAACTGAGAGACACACAGAAAATGTAGGTACACAGAAGATGCAGTAATAAGCATCCAATCTGCAGGAATCATGTGAATGAATTTATATTGGGAGTTAAAATGTCTAGTGAGACATTTTGGTTGGCTGACTACAGCAGGAGAGACTTGAAAGTCACTCATAAATGGAAAGTTATTATGCATGTACCATGAAATACTTTGTCAAAGTCTTGTAAAATTCATAGGATACCGAAAATGTGCCTAAAATTACAAGTAAATATTTTGTACCTAACAATCTCAAGTCAAATATGATGGCATATTTTAACAGATCAAAACAGTACATGTATCAGGAAAAGATTTCTTTTTCCATGCCCCATGTCCCAGAAACCTGGAACATCTTTAGTATATTAAAATATCAGTTGAAGCATAATGAACTTTTCAGTTTTCAAGTGCACCTACATTCCTGCCTAATCCATATCAAAGTAGACCAGTCAGCCCACATTCTTCTTTACTTTCTAGTTTCTTCATTTTTTTGCAATAGTTTTATAACCTTTCAATTACAGCATTCCTGTTCATGAATTATTTTCATTTCTTGAATAATGCAAACCATAAAATCAGAAGGATGATCATAAAATTCAGTTAGTATCTTAGGCTGTGCACACATTTAAATTTGTTGCTATAATATTGCACGTAACATAGTAACTAGAAATATATGTGACAAAAATTTTGACAGTTTTAATAATCACATAGGCAACAGTAACAGTTCAAAAATGAATATTTTTTCAAAATAAATTCACAGTTTTTCATGAGAAGTACAGTAAAATTTCTGTAGAACAGTCAGAAAAACTTGAAATATACTGTGATGGGTTGAGACAAAGAGAAACTTATTCAAAACAGAGGATGGACTGCAGATTCTAATATAATTATCCTTGGTTTTTGGCTTATCAGATGAACTTGTATTGAATTGTATGGAATAAGACAGCTGTATTATAATTTTCAGTGTGGAGAGTAAAATAAGATCAATGGAATATGATGGACAGTTGTATGAAACGTTCCTGAAAAACGCCTTGTCCAAGATGATTGACCACAAAGAGAGAATTGAGGTAATTCATAAAGTTAAATGTTGTACTAAAGTGATTTCTTCTTTAAAAATTGTGAAAGAAGGGGGTTTATATAATGTAAGGGGGGTCCATTGATTTTCACAAGCTTTGAAGGGGTAAAATTACTTGCATATTCTGTGAAGTTCTGTAAACCAACTATTATTCGGGTCATCTTTAATTTGCAATTTGTCAGTTTGAAATCAATCCGGGATGATTATTTTTCTCTATGGTGGAAATACTGTATACAGGGTTATTTTCAACCCGTCCAATTTTTGCCCTTTCACACCTGCAGACAGTTTTGCCCTGTTTTAAATTCGCCCAGTCATAGTTTCATTCAAGTAGTTATACTGTATTATTTAATTTCGCTCCATTTTAAATTCCCCCAAATGAGGGTAGGGTGAAAGGGGCAAAAATTTCCCTGCATACAGTATTCTCTACAAATACATGTATATAGCAAAAATAAATATTTCACAGAGGTTAATGTTTGCAAGTTGCAGAAGGATGCGAAACTAGCAGATATTTCTTGCTGGCAAATAAAAATTGGTTTACAGTAACTTTGAATGAATAAGGAATATAAGAATTTGTTTTCATGCACCATATCAATGAAGGGCCTAGACTTCTATTTAACATAATTGATTTTTGGTTTTATACTTGCAAAAGTCTACTTAAAAACAAGCAAAAATTGTTCATGAAATATTAAAAAATAACTGTGAAGAAAAATGCTAAAAAGAAAATGAATTTTCCATTACAATAAATGGTTTACATTGAGTTTTTCTTCTAGCTGCTGAACCATTGCTTTTAACCTTACAGTAGATGAATTACCTTCCTTTGTTTTGAAATGTATTTCTATTATTTTAATTTTATTGACTATAGGGAGTGTTAGATAACATGACAGAGCGACTGGAACAGAAATTGAAAGAGACAGAGAAATCACAAAGTCAAGAGAGTAACCAGGAAGTGAAGAAAAAAATGAAGAAAGACTACGAATAAATAGTCAGAAGAAATTAAAAAATGAAACAAAGGTTGTTGCCCAAAATACAGATTATTAAAAAGACGGGAAAGGACAATCCCTTAGTTCTTCAGTGTTTATTGACTTTTATTACTCAAAAATTGTTTTTGTGTTGTCTATGTGTAAGAATAGTATTATTAAAGGATTTACTATGTACATGTATGTCTGCAAGTCTAACTGTTCATCTGTTTGTCCTTGCTTTTCACACTTGATAGCTTTTGACCTGTGAGTCAGTGAGAGATTTAGGAACCTGACTTGAATCAAGTCCATACAGTAAATCTGTACATCAGTTTATTTTATTGTAATTGCAGTTGATTTGGATTTTTTTAAATTAAATGTTTGACAGGTGCCCTTTTGAAACCCCTAGCACTGTGACTTTTAGCTTGACTTTTTATGAATATTTCAAGTATACATGTATTTCATACTGTTTACATGTCATAGTTATATCTGCTTAATTTTAACTTTTATGAGTATATCTTATCACTGGTCTTTATCATGAGAATTATGTACAGCATACTGATTTGTGGACTGAACCTACTTTTTCTTTTAAAGTTTTGCCAATATTTTTAAACTAAATAGTGCTTTGTTATGTTGAATGTATATATTTTTCTATGAAGTAAAAAACTCTATTTAAGGCACTAGAGCTACTGTCAGACCAAATAACACTGTATTCCGGACCTTAAGTACACATGTACTTGTACCATATTTTCTATGCCTTGAATCTTTTGTATTTTCAGATATCAGAATCCTTAACAGCATTTTGTATACAACATTGTAATCAATATCAAAATATGAAGTGACTTCCACAACTTTACAGTCTTGTTGGTGTTCATTGACAAATACATAAAAGTTTCGTCATAACAGTATATTCTTGTGTCCTTCACTACTTATAAATATACATTTGGACTTACATGTACTTTGTGTTTGGTTGGCAGCAAATATACGGGTTCCTCTGTTTTTGATTTTATTTATGGCTTAAACGAAAGCATAAAAAGATTGTTAGTTTGTTCTGTGCTTTAAATAATCATTGTATTAAAAACACATTTAAAGATTGTAATTTGAAGCTGCTTTGCTAGATGTACAAAATGCTGTGATTACAAATTATTTCCAGCAGAATGAACTTGCTAAGTAACAGAAATGCTGTACTTGAAGGAAAGCTCTCTATAATGTAGGGGAATTAAGTTAGTGAGTTAAGGCTAAGTATTGGTGTTTCTATGCAAATGAGCAAATAAAATGCATAAGTTGTATATTTTATATACAGAAAAAATTCAAATTGATTTTCTTATTCATACTTAGTACCCACTGTTAAAGCTTTAAAACTTAAATTTTTTTTTAAAGTGAGACAAGCTCTAAGATATTTGAACCAATAATAATTTAGTTACAATGAATATACACATAAAGTATAAAGAACCCTCGACTAGTCCTTGCCCATTCATTCAAAATATGTGGACAATGTTAAAGTTTTTCAAAGTGGCTTAAACTCAAAGGTCAGGGTCAAAGGATCGTAAAGATGGTGTCCAAGTTTAGTCTTGTCAAACAGAAAATGTGGACAAAATTTGAAAGCCTAGGCTTAACCACTCAAAACTTTTTTTTGTAATATTGTGTCAAAATACAAGGAGAAAAGGTAAACAAGATATGTTTGTGAAACACTGATGCCCATGTATGGCAACATAGCGAAGCTTTAGCTTTTATTAAATGCAATTAAATATGTTGGTATCCAAAGTAAGATCTTCTCACATGAAATACAATGTGAAATATGAAAGCTTTAGCATCAAAAGTTATGGCCTAGGATAATTTTTTTCGAAAGGTAGCTCAAACTCCAGGGTCGATGTCAAAGTTGTTGTTTTCTGAAGAAGAGTCTTTTTCACAAGGATTACATATGTGAAGTTTGAAACCCTAGCCCTATCCGTTCAAAAGTTACGGCCAAGGTTAATTTTTTTTAAAAGTAGGTCAAACTCCAAGGTCAAAGGATCAAAGTTGTTTAATCAGACTGGTATCCAATGAAAAGTCTTGTCACATGGATTAAATTTGTGAGGTATAAAATCCCTAGCCCTACCTGTTCAAAAGTTATGGATAAGATTATAGTTTTTGAAAAGTAGGTCAAACTCCAAGGTCATCGCACAAAGATTACATATTAGAAAAAAATATGAAAGCCCTAACCCTCACCCTTCATAAGTTATGGTCGAGTTAAAGTTTTTATAAAAGTACATTAATCTCCAAGGTTAAGGACAAAAAGTCAGAGTTGTTGGTGTTAAATGGAAGGTCTTGTCACAAAGAATACATATACATGTATGAAGTATGAAAATCCTACGTCTATCGTTCAAAAATTATGACCAAAGTAAAAGTTTGGAATTTTTGTGTAAAAGTGTGTCATACTCCAAGGTCAAGGTCTAAAGGTCAAATTTGGTGGTACCTAAAGAAAGGTCTTGTCACAAGGAATACTCAAGTGAAATATGAAAGTCATAGCTTTACTAAATCAAAAGTTATGGGCAATGTTAAAGATTTTGTGGACTTAATTATTTAATCTTGTGACAAGACCTTTCTTTTGACACCAAGATCTTTGACCTTGATCTTGGAGTTTGACCTACCTTTAAAAAATTATCCTTGGCCATAACCTTTGAACAGGTATTGCTATGGCTGTCATATTTCACAATTGTATTTCATGTGAGAAGACCTTACTTTGGGTACCAATATATTTAATATGCGTTTAAGAAAATTTTTATCTTCACTATGTTGCCATATGGGGCTTCAGTGTTTCACAAACTCATCTTGTTTTTTTTTCGGGGGGGATTGGGTGGGGGTGGGGTGGAGTCTTCCAACCTCTTTCAGTACCAATATATTATATCCATCAATTTTTTTTAATAAAATAAAAGTAAATTTTTTTCTGTCGCAAAATACAAATTAAAAGCACTCCCCCCACCCCCCCAAATGAAAATTGTATTTGCACTTGTATCTGCAATTAGCTAATGCCCTCTATTTTATATAGCTACTGGTATTTATTTATTATGTGAAGTGCTAAGTTATAATATCATGCAATATGAAGATAACGAACAGATACCAAGCTCAAACAACCATCATGATTAAAACAATACACTGAACAGATTTAGAGCAGAGCAAACATGGACCGCTAAAACCATCAGAGGTGGATTAGGTGCCATGGAGGAATGAGCATCCTCCAGACTAACGGGTCTTACCTGCCATGTACTACATGTCGTAATCAGGGAAACGGGAAAAAATCTGTCAGTAGACAAGTCATTGTAAAAATAAATGCTTCAAACATCAGTCGTCTTGTATTATATGCTGACAAGATCACTGTATCGAGCAAACATGTTTATAATATTTGTGAAATGTGGACTTCAACAGGACAGATGATATCCATGCAACATCCAACTTATTTGTTGCTAGCTTAATCACAGGGGCTTGTCACGAAATATTTATCTTCTTTTGATATAGTAACCCCTACTATAAAAATACATTTTTATAGTAGGGGTAACTTTATTAAAAGAAGATAAATATTTCGTGACAATAAAGTATAATAAAGTTACCCCTACTATAAAAATGTATTTTTATAGCAGGGGTTACTATATTAAAACAAGATAAATATTTCGTGACAAGCCCCTGTGGTGTAAATCAAATGTGGATACGTAAAATTTCCAAGGAACCTTTGCACAATTTAAAATCACAAAATTTTATCAAAATCAACAGCTTAAAAACTTGCGACTTTTCAACTTTATACACAACCATTTCCCAGGATAAATTAAAGTCCAGGCTTTATTTATATCATTAACAGCCGCTTTTTCAATAAAAATGGAAGTCGTAAATTTACTTACCTTGTCAATGGTCATTTGCAAAATTATTTTCTTAAAAACATCTTGATTGTACACATAAGTACATGTACTCTGAAGTTGACATCAGAAAGATGCTTGAGTTTCTGATTGACAATATCTGTTGTTTTTGGAGACCAGGTCTTCCAACAATCTTTTGGAAGCGCCCCGTTATTAATTAGCAGACCTATTTTTATATTCATATGAAGCAGAATTTGTGCAAAATCTTATGTGTGAAAAGAGGAAAACACTTGTTGCAGCCTTCAACTCGAAATTTAAATATATCGACGACGTATTGTCAAATTACAATGGTTATTTCCATTCTTATGTCGATACGATATATCCTGGTTAGATCGAGATCCGTGAGATACAAGATACCATAGAGTCTGACACATTTGATTCATAATTGAATATTTTCTTGAAAAAGACGTCAGTGGTCAAGTTTAATTCCAACGTCTGTCAAATCCAATTTCCTTTTCATAACCAAATCATTCTGTAATATTTAGCCCACAAACATTACCAAATTACCCCTGATTTTTACAGTACTTCAACAAAAACGGATGTAACCCCCCCCCCCCCAAAAGTACATACCCGTGTTAAATAAATATTCCCTATTCATTTTTTTTCTTAATAGGCCATTGTATCGACGATGTAGGTCTACGATTTTTAAAATACATTCAGAGAGAGAGAGAGAGAGTTAAAATTCCCGCTAAATGTTTCGAGCATCAATTTTTAGCCAATGAAAATCTTTCCCCACAGTCATCTCGTGCAATCTCATCAGAGTGACTTCCGCTAATAATGTCTTGAATGAAAACGTCAAACAGCTGAGAAGATGTTCGAATAAACCAGTTTGTGATCACCTGAAGGTCTGTATTTATAAATTCTTACAAATGAAAGGGACTCTTTGAAACTGTTTAATCGTTGACTAAGTGTAAATGATAAATCCTTGGTCAGAACAATATTTTATGGTTTTCCCCTTGGCCTTCGGTTTTGTAAACACTAAAACAGGCGCGAGACGATGCTTGTCTTATCTTCCCATAACAAGTGTCTGTAGAAACTGGCCATCATCATTAGGCCTTTTAAAATTTGCATTTTTGTTACCTGATATGGATAAATTAATCATTTTTTGAGAAGTTTAAAGTAACATGACTTTTCATTCACAACTACTGTATGACTATGAGTATCACTGACATGCTTATGCACTGTTATGTCATCTTTGTGAGTGAAAGGAAAATGTTGAGAAGGCTTACAGAGTGCAAAGTATATAATAAATGTAGTTTTTTTGATAGTGCTGGCACAATGTATGGCTTTGGGTTGTGCAGTCTGGATGCAGCATTCTTAATATAATTGCTTCATATATATACAGTAATTAATATTTAAAAAATTTCCGTTTGTCAGTGAGCCTTCACTTTTCCTCTTTGAAGTCCGGACCTTTCTCTTTTTAAAAATATAAATTTTAATTTTTATCCTCTTTTGTTGTACCTATATGCTCTTCATACATAGGAGAGAATTACAAAACTGAACCTGACACCAGTTAAAAAAAAATTTCCTCCCAGCCCTTACAATGTTCTTACAATATACCACACTTTCCCTCATATTTAAACAAATTTTATTTTTTAATTTCCTCATAAAATTTTGAATACAAGAAATATGATCATGAAATTTAACATATTACATGTTTAGGGCAATTAAAGTAAACCAACTTGTATGATTGTATTAAGGATGAAAACAACAAAATTAAAACTTTAATTACATTTTTGTATAATTTATTACATCAAAATACCACAATGTGCTAGCCCAGGTGAACAGCTAGAATAAGGGAAATCTGGAAGGTCAATGCCATGTGTTAAAATTAATGTATTTATTCTGTTGCCTCTGAGAATTTTAAGGCTAAAAAATGTTGTTCACAAGCTGAAATGTTTTTCTTTAATAAGTGTGTGGAGAGAAATTTGAATATACCTTAGTGAAAATAAATGTGACTGTGTTATTTCTAATTCTTTTATGACAAAATCTTTGTTCATGCACAATGTAAACAATAAAATGAAAAAAAAATCAAGGCTAAAAACTAGCGTCAAACTGTCAACAGGAAATAATTAACTAGTTTGATTTGTAAATAGACAGTTTAATTATTTGGTAAGCCTTTTTCTCTTACATAATCAGTTTTATACACAAACATGCATTTTCAATATCCTTATTGAAATTCCAAATGTAACTTTGCAATTGTAAAATTAAGTTATGCACAAGTAAGTATTGAGCATATCTTATAGTTTTAAGAATTAAAGCATGTACTTGTATAGGTTTATATGTTTTTGCATCCTATCATTGAAAACTCAGTAACTAAAATGTAGCTGATTTATTATCAAAGGTATAAATAGATACACTGCATGTAACATCCCATGTCATTTGTATATTAGTATCTAAACAATATATGTAGGGGTTCATCAGGCTG